TTTACACTTACTCCTTTAAAGCGATATCTAAATTAAAATTTTCGTGTTCTCAATTACATCTTTCTATTTCTTAATTACAACTTACATTTTCTCAATTACATGTTACGATTCTTAATTACAATTTTCGTTTTCTAAATTACATCTTATGTTTCTTAATTACAACTTACGTTTTCTCAATTACATCTTACGTTTCTTAATTACAACTTTTGTTTTCTCAATTACATCTTACGATTCTTAATTACAATTTTTGTTTTCTCAATTACATCTTGAAAAGGTGTAGAGAGCTTAATCCAAAACAAAAAAAAAAGTAAAAATTATTGTGTTAAGAAATATAATTCCTAAAAAAGATCTTCAAAAGTTAAGCTATGCAATTGAGTTCTGGAACTCATTGGAGCAAAGGAAAATATTCAAAGAAATTCTTGAAGTAAATATTCCAAAATAAAAACTTATTTCTTGTCAAAAATGTAACTTTATAATAATTTACCTTGTATTATATACAGCGGGTGATTAATAAAAAATATAACCAATAGGACGATGGTTCGCAAAAAAGTTCGCATTTTACCAGTTCGCAGTTTGCATTTTACCTAGTACCGTCAACTCGAACTTGTCAGTTTTTTCTTTCCTCTTTTAAACAAGTAATTTTAAAACAGTAAAGCCAAGTATATTTTGAGAGGGCATAATCAAAACTAGAACTCCAACTTGTACAAAATTGCAAAGAACGACAAAACTTTTTTTCAAATAGAGTTGTTGTCCATTGGAATGGGCTTTCCTAAGCTGTAGTGAACGCTCCATCTATCCAATAGTATTAAAAATTTACAATACTTTATTACTTTGGTTAAACGTTAGAAATGCCTTTAAAAAGTATATGTATATATAAATATATAGTGCTGTCCCGAGGGGGGCGTAGGGGTGTTTAGCTCCCCTATGAATTTTATCAGTCGGTAAATCGGACACTGGAGACGGCAAAACTGGATTTATAGTTTGAAGTTCGCAAATGTCCGAAAACGAGGACCTTTTTTTTTTTTAGATAAGTTATTGGCCGAAAACTTTTTTTTTGGCTTTAGTCGGCAGAAACAGACACGTCACCCTCCCTTAAAAATCTCTTCGGGACGCCCCAGTATATATATATATATATATATATATATATATATATATATATATATATATATATATATATATATATATATATATATATATATATATATATATATATATATATATATATATATACTGTTGTTGTCATGTACAAAAAATGAGTTTAATACTTGACGCAATATTTGTTAAATTTTTTTTAATATAACAATGACGTATTAGGTATGCGCATAATACTTTTTTTTTATTTTGTATTAGGAATTAAAAGCAATAACGACAAAATAAAAGAAAAATTTAAAATAACAACATCATTTTGAGAAATAAAAAAATATAAATATGTTAATGCTTTTGTTTTTTTTAGAATTTTTAATTTTATTTTAACAATAAAAAACCTCAAGTAAAAAAAAAAAAAAATTAAAAAAAGATACTTGGAATCAATCTTCTAGTGAATTTTTAAACTTGAAGAAAAATTATTTTTTAAAAACGACAAAGAAAGTTGAGGAAGAGTTCATATTAAGTGAACTGAACTTTGTCGGCGTACTTTAGTTAGGTTAATCTAACTAACGTTTTGCATTTATGTGCGCTTTCTTTATGCTATCTTTCTAACTCGACTACTTCTGCCTTTCACTCTAACATATCTTCGTTCTTCCCAAACTCACTTTACCCTTGATCCGTAGAGGAGGTTATAATGCTTCTTGGGGAGCCGAACTTGTTTCTGCGGGCCATGGTAATGTGGCCTTTATATGGCAATTAGCCGAAGGAGAATAAAACACAACACCAAAAATTTTTTTTTGGCCATTTTTTTTACGGCCGTAAACTAAAATCTTTTTGTCTTTATCATTTTCTTTTCAGTAAATTTTTCTAACCACTCTGTGCTCAAGCAATAGACAAAAAAAAACTAATAAAATTTACTTGTTTATTCTGGTCCATTCGTAATGTTATTTTTATAAAAGGTTTACAAGTTGTTTTTTTTCATTTTTTTTTAAACTCAATTTTGAAAGAACAACGTGTTTTGGATAGTTGGTATCCAACCATATACATTGCTTCCTAACATTTGATCAAATTTTTAATGGTACGATATAATTTTAGTTCAACCAACTTCTGGTATTACACATATTTATCTCCCAGATAGGTATGTATTAGCTGGTCACTTATGAAGAACTTCTAACTGCTCAAAAACAAACTGATTTATGTCAAACTTTTTTTTTATAACGTGGCAATTTGTTCCACTTCTTTTGATATGTGGAACCAAACAAAAAAAATCACGGTTCAAAGCAAACTAGACACAGACAAAATATTTTATTATTTATGGATGTGATACTTACATTCATAAATAATTTGGTACGTAATTTAACAAATAACTTGTCCCGATTCAGTATATTCAGTGCATACATAAAATATGCATACCGCCACAACTTGAGCTAATGAATAACTTCATCTGCTGTATCTCGCCCAGTCTCTAACAACAATACAATTACGCCAAGTTGCTTTTAATCACTGTTTACAGTCTACCTTAGATAGATAAAGTTAAATAAATGCTAGAAAAATTCGGATCTCTTTTTTTTTTTTTTCTTTTTTTTTTTTTTTTTTTTTTTTTTTACAAATTATAATTTGTAAAAAAAAATGTTGTAATTACAACAAAGTTAATTGCCTAATTTGGTACGAAATAACGCAAACCAAGAATATGAATTTTTAGGACAGCGGTTATTTATTTAACGTAATCAACAACAAAGGCTAGTTATAATAACACGGCATCATCAACAATAAAAACATTCATTTTTGTTTTTTTTTAATTTAAAATAAAGCTTTATTCTTGTTTTGCTGCTAAAGTAATCTTCATCTCCTGTTTCCACTTCTGAACTCTGATATTGAAATTAATTGAAATAAACTCGTAGAAAAGATTCTGTTTCTTTATTCTTCTTCTACTTCTTCTTTAAGTATATAAAAAAACTTTAAAAATACAAAAAAAAAAAAAGTGATTATATTAAAGATAAATGATTTTAACGATAATTTGAAATCTTTAGTTATTAATAATAAAAGTGGATAACAGAGATGCGTATCGATGAATTTTAAAATACTCTCAAAACATACAAAAATATCGAAACATATTTTAAAACATCGTTAGTTTTCTGTTTAAATGTTTGTGATCGAGCAATTCCTATCGAGCAATTCGATACGATAAGAAGAAAATTTTCGCGTTTAAGCTATAGAAAAATTATTCTTTTTTTTTCTACCAAGAAAAAAAAAAACCAAATAAAACGATATTTCAACATTTCAATAACCTACTAAACATTGTAAACAATTTTTACAACTTTAAATTTTAAAAGGTACATGCGCGAAATATTGAAAATATGAGTTGAAACGGTAAAAAATTAATTTAGAAGAAAAAAAAAGTTTTATATCCTCTGTATTATTTTAAATAATTAAAAAAACAAAAAAATACTTCTATTGTTGGTGATACCGTGTTATTATAACCAACTTTTGTTGTTGATTATGTTATTGATTAGCGTAATCAACAACAGAAGACAAAAATTGTTATATGTTTATGTGAAAAAAAAAAACTTTCAGGATGGAGACTGTAAATATATATTTACATTTGAAAAACAACAAGGGTTGGATTCGTTTATTTTTGTCACGGATTCACGAATCCGGAAGCGATAAAATTAAAATTTGATTTTATAAAAGAACAAAACAACAACATCATATTTAAACTTTCAAGTTTAAAGCTTTATCAAATAAAAAAGTAGTTTTAAAAACGTTTTTTTTTAATTGATAAATTTGCAATAATAAACCTCCAATTTTTATGTCCTGTTTCCTTCATTTTTTATTAAGAGAGTTTTTATTTTTTATTGTCCAACATCTGAACTTTATTTTTGTATTCGCCAGTGTAACTATTGTGTTATTAGGGTTTATCCTAAAATTTCTAATGTTTTTTTTTTTTAACTGATGTGTTTACATGAAGCGTTTTTGAGTAACAAAAAAATAAAAAAATAAAATAAAATTCAGTAACAAAAATAAATAAAATGAAATCAACAATTGACTGCTCTTAGAGCTAGGCCTGCTAGAGATTATCGCACACAAGTAGAAGCTTTGGAAGTGTATAGGTGCTTCTTATGAACCTTGTGTATTTATCTATCTCTACTGTACTTATTCGGCTTTTTGTTTGAAGAAAGAGCCGGGTGATGTCTTTAATTATATATATTTTTTGGGAAGGTCTATGTTTTATATTTTAATTTTAATTTATTACCAAAGTAACTTTTTTTTTTTTAATCATTTAATTTTTTTGGATATGAAAATAAACAATTTTATTTCTAAAAATATAAAAAATTTTTACTTTGCAGAAAACTATAATACATGAAAAAAAAAATATGATGTTAAAATATCTTCCTTGAAAAATAAAGAATTACAAAGAATGCTAAGAATTAAAAATTTTATCGCCTAAAAAATAATACAAAAAAATCAAAAAATATATATATTTATCGCGACTTGCTTTTTTTTTTTACTAAATGTATCTTACATAGACAAGTCAGCTCACCATTTATTATATTTGGTTTTTGAGAAAATCATATGATGTAACGTTATAAATCGATATCCCTGATTTCTTATCAGAACATCGAAGAACGGAAAATAATAGATTGAAAAGAAATTCTTGATATCAAAGAAAGAACACCTTCAAAATAAATCAGATATTCTGCTTCATTTTCCGATTCTATTGTTGCAAAATTATGCTCAAATTGTTCCATAAGACTTATAGACCACTCATATTTTCAAAAAATGAACCTATATTTCCATTTCTTTTTGATTGGTTAGGTGATTTTTCAATTTTTTTTACTATTAAAAAGATCAGGGGGTTTCTCAAAAAAAAGTTTAAACAGCTGTTTTTCGGGAAATTATTACGGCGTTTCTCTGAGGATTAAATTTGTTTTGTACGAGTCACTACCGAGTATCTCTAAAAGTCACTAAGTCTTGTAAATTAAATAATTTTAAAAAGACGAATAACTTGACATAAAATATTTCGGAATCGATATGCTTTTTTTGGCGATGCTGATGTACTAACGAATACGTTGAAAAATCAATATTTATGTTTCTTTTCCTAACAGTTTATATCATATAATAAGTAAGACTAAATGATGTTGTTATTTGTACAAGTAAATATCAGAGAATAAAAGTTTATCGCCAGATATTTGTATTAAAATGGTTTTAATAAGCAAACGATGTTAATGGAGTAGAGCATAAAAAAAAGTTTCTAAAAAAATATGGCCGCAGGTATATGGGATCGACTTCCAGCACACGAGTTCAAACAGCTGCAAGAGTACACAAAATGTAAGATAGATATACTAAGTATGCAATGATTATTACATAAAAACTACTATAGCGTTTGTGTTGTGATTGTAAAATTATGTACAATAGATAAATTTATACATAGCTGTGTAGTGCAAATTGTATATACAGCATACATTAACATTTTTAAAGTTAAAGCATTTTTACTTTAATTTATAAAAAAATCTTAGGTAAAAAAAAAAAAAATGAATCAGTGGTCTCAATAAAAATTTTTAAGATATAAAATACTTGTATAAAAGTTGTGAAATAAACAAATTATTTTTCTTTTATGATAAAATAGTTTCAGACTAAACATTTCCCACATATGAGTCAAATTATACTATTTTAACTTGTTTTTCACAAATTTTATTTTGTATTATAATGCATTTCACATATAGGGTAGGAATTAGCTCAGTAGAGTTGCATGCACTATTTTTACAAATAATATTTGTATATTTTTAAGCAATAGAATAAGTAGTAGACTAACTACTGCATTGCTCATTTCTTAATTATTCTACTCACTTCTAAAGCAAGAAGGTTAGTGTCGTATTCCACTTGTTTCTTTGCACAGCAGCTTTTTTTCGTCAAGGCCTATATTTTTGAGTTAACAAGTTAGAAGAGGGATTTAACTACAATTAAAAAAAATATATTTAATAGGTTTCTTGACTTTAATGGTCCCATTAGCCTTGGAGAGGTGAATACATTAAAAGGTAGAATTTTTTTCCTTACATAAATGTTATTAACTTAGTCTGCAAAGTAACAATTTTGATAGCTTTGCAATTAAAAAACAACACCTGGAACATCCAAAAACTATGTTTTTTAGTGCTTGCTTCATCAGGGAGCAGCGCAGAGTTAAAATTCCACTACGTCTCTGGTAGTAACATGCTTAACTTGTTTCTCTGAAGGTTTATGTTTTGGAGTCATAGGATTAAAGAAGGGTTGTAAAAGCAAAGTAGTAATAAATTAAAAAAAAAAGAAATACAATTTTACCAGGTGCATTTTAACAACTAGACATTTTAGCTGTACAAATAATGTCTTGATAAAATTTTAGGTTCTCTGATTAATTTACAAAATTTTGGGTAAAACTTTACTAATGATTTACCCCCGTCCTCGCTCAGGACGTTAAGTATAGAAAGGTACTCAGAGTATTGATCATACAATCTAAGATTTTATTCAAACAACATCTGATGTCTGACTATTAAGTTTTGGCTATGCACAGCACCTACTATATGCACATGGCTATGCACAGCACCTACTATATGCACATTTGTTATATAAAAAGCATAGAAATTGAGCCAGATTTTTAACTTTTCAGGTTTTCATTTTAAACTAGTTTTTAAAGTAAAATTTTAAAATTGTAGTTTTGATAAGAAAGTAACCAGCATAGCATTTTTAAATGTACTAAATTATATATTTTTTCATTTGCAAAATATATGTATATGTATATATCCTTTTAGTGACTTATTGATTTCTTTCAAATATATACTTGGCTAAATAGTAACAGTTTAGAAACTACTTCAGTAACTACTCCATAGCTTTTTGCAATCTATGGAGGAGTAGCATTTTTCCTTATAGTAAAATATTTGTCAAGTTTTGTAAAATCAGTATTTTTTGGATTCCAAAAACTGTTTGGAATCCAGCACATGTGTTGTATGTGCTGATATAAACACATGTGTGTGTAATAAAATTTAAATTAAAAAATAAACAACTTGCTTTTTAAGATTCAAAGAGAAGGCTCAAAGATGTTTTGACAGAATTCCATGCTGGCATTCATAAACAATATAATACTGAACAGGTAATTTGTTTTATTTATTACACACATATAAATGTACTATTTATTAATAAATATATATTTTTTTTGTTAAAAATTGTTTTAAAAGAGAATGATGGAAAATTTTTTACTTCTTTTAAATTCTTACTATGTTATTTTAATTTAAAAGTGGATTTATCTCTATATTAGTGATTATTATTTAATTATAATAATAAAATGATAGCTATTTGTCGAGAGTAAAAAATGTTAAGGTCATCATTAAAATCATAATTTTAAAGCTGTAAATTGTAGTTTATTTTATGACTTTTAAAGCAAAAAACTTGTTCAGTTTGAGTGCCCTTTTTTATTAATTTTAGTAAATGTTTTCTTAAGCTTATCAAGAGTTTTGAGCTTTAAAACATAGTTTTGAATAGGCATATCTTTTTGAATATCCATGTCTACTTAAATATGTATATCTACTTGAATATGTATGTCTACTTAAATGTCTGTCTACTTGAATATGCATGTCTACTTGAATAAGCTTGCCTAATATTGATGGATTGGAGTTAATAAAAAAAAAAAAAATTTATTAGATCAACTAATTATGTTAATTATGTCAACTAATTAATTATCTATTGAATTTGTATTCTTAACATTGTTGATTAGAAAAGGCATCTAAACAAAATGCTATCATACTAATTCTTTTCAAAGTTATTTTGAGATTTTTTATAAAATAAAGCCCATGTTAAATCTATAAACAGAAAGAACAGGATTTGTATGAATAGTTAAATTAATTTTTTGTGTTTTAATTTTTTATTAAAATTAAAGGTTTTAAATTTTTTCTCTGAAAAAATGTATTAAATGTATATTGTTCAAAGTTTTAAGTAGCTATTTTAAGTAACTTGTGTTCAAAGTAGCTATATTACCTAAAGTTGGAAAAATATTGCTGTGTGTTATACAGTAGTGTTATTTTAGGGTAATTTCCAGTTGCCCTTTAAGCAACCAAAACTTGAATCCTTTGTGATAGTTGGTAGTCCAACACCATTTTTTTATTTGTAGTTTTTTGACATTCTTTATAAATTATTTAGGTCATTTATAAATCCATAATTGTCTTTATACAAAAGAAAAATCTTTTAAAGTGAAAATTAAAAAATAAAAATAATAAAGCGTTTTGTTATTCATATCTTGAACATAGGCTGCAAAAAAATTACTCCATTTCAATCTTTTGTATGAGCAAAATAAAGTTTTTTGAAAGTTAAAATAATCAAAACAAAGATTTTTAAAGATTTTACCAGAAAAGTTTTATTAATAAACTTGTAAATGTCCATCTGCAAAAAGTCAAAAAAATAAAACTTTGAGTTAATTTCATTTCCACATTCTATATACTGAAATTTATTATCTGTTTAAATATTAGTTTTTTTGTCCTAAAAATAGACAAAGAAAATATGATTTTCTGTTGATGTGCAACTATGAGTAGTACAGTTTTTTGCTGTTATTTAAAATCAATTTATTCAGATTTAGGGCATTTTGCAAATTTTGCTCCTCATATAGTAATTGTCTGGCTGCCCTACTGAACCACAGACACTATTTTTCTGTAAATTCAGTTGTTATTTGGAAGGTCTAGTTGTCCTAACTGTTGGGTGGATATAGTATGGCACAGCTGTAATCTTTTACCGTTAGTTACTAAAATAATATTTGTCCCTATTTTGCACAAACACTGTCTTTAAAATTAACAATTTTCAAAAATATATATTAGCTTAAAACTATTGTTTTATCTGTAATAATGAAGCAATGATAGAAAATTATTTTTAGCCAATGGGTTATGAAGGTTTCAAGCTCTTTATGTCTTCTTATTTGGGAGAAAGTATTAGCGATGAACTTTGTCAAACTTTATTTTGGACATTTCATAAGAAAGTTCCTCAAATAGGTGTTAAATCTCCTGAGATGCCCACTGCTCTTGTTAGTAAGTTTATTGAAGAAGGTGGCTATGAAGAGTTTAATGAGATTGGCCATGGCACCCCAAGTGAGTTTTCAGAAATTTATATATTTATAAAAAATCTTTTTAAATTTTTATAATTTTATATTTTAAATTTTTTTATATTTTTCTAATGATACTTTTTATGAATAAGGTTAGGAAGTTTATAAATTAGGGATTCAGATGGTCTGTGAACTAAGTAAATAAAGTGTTACTAGAGCCAAAAATCTAATAATTTATCAGTTTAGTGGATTTTCAGTATTTATTCTGCAATTGTTTAATAAAAGTACCATTTCCGTTTTAAAAAATTTAATTTATAATATATAGGAAGGCAGGAACAGCCAAATGCTACAACCATGAAATAAAAAAGAATGTATTGTCTTAAATTCAGTAGATGACTCATAAAAAAAAATATTTATAAGAAATGCATATTTTTTAAATTTTATATTTGAAAAATATAATTTTTTTCATATAAAATTTAATAAAAATGCATTGATAAATTAAAAGTCTATTTGGTTGTATTAAAAAATTTCAATCCTTCAAAGAAAAACTTTTTTTCAAAGCATGAAAAATAGTTTTTCTTGTTTTAATTCTTTTTGAGAAGCATTTTTTTTTTAAGTATAAAATCGCTACAAGTTTTTTTAATATATAAAAAGAGTTGTTAAATTATGTTTACCCTTGCTATTTAGATCTTCTATTTTCAAGGATTGCCAAAGGAGCACGTCGTGCTACATTGGTTGCTACAGCAACTGTTGTTGCTGGAATTACTTCAAGTATTTCAAGCTGCAGTTCAGCAAACGCATTAAACGAATTAAACAATGACACTCATCAAAAGTATAAACAAAATGGAAAATATCATCAGTTAGGTAAGTCTATTTAATTTTTGGTTGTTTTTACTATATTATCTGTATAAATATTAGCTACTGTTGATCGCATTAGTAATAAAATATGTCTCAAGGAACTGTCAATAATGGGAACAATTCTTGTTTTATGTTAGGCTAAATGACCGTGACTAATTTTGATAAAAGGTCAACACCAGTTTTTACTGGTTTATCAAGTGTACAATTTTTCAAGTTCTCCCTTTAGCAGTACTGTTTATTATGCTACAACAAGCAATAGTTTGTGTAACTTATTCTGATTTTGTCATACATAAAAATTTACAATTTGTATTGCAATTTATATAACCAAAAAAAAATTTAAAAAATAATTTTCAGGTTTAAAATAAAAGTTTTCAATTTTTAAAAACTAATCCAATCTTCATTTGAAACTATTTACAGCATTGGCTTTTGCGATGTTTTCAGTTAAATTGCTCCAAGTCTTAACCACATGTTTGTATAAAATTAATGATGCTATTTGTTTTTCTTTTTAACTTTTTTTTTTTTTTCCTGAATGTGAATACAAATTTTCATTTCACCAGTTAACAATATTGAATATAATATTGTTATATTAAAATGCTGTATTAGGTAACTTTAAACTTTACTATTTTCTAGTGTTTAATTGATCCAAAATTCTTAATCTTTCTTTGTATTCTGATTTTCTAAGTGAGGGAATCAGACGAATTGCTCTGTTTTATACTTTTTTAAGCTCAATTATATTATTTTTTGGTGACAGTTCCACGCCGATATTTCATATTTCAAATGAGGTCTAAGCTGTGTATGTTTTGAGTAGTTTGTTATTTAAATAAGTAAACATATTGTCAATTGTTCATTCCATGTATTTTGCTTTGTTTGATGTATACATTACTTGACTATGATATTTCATACTAGACAAAATAATAGCCGGGTCTTTTTCTTTGTGTTGCATAAACTTATTGTTTCATTTCTTTTTAATGGAATTGTTGTGATAGTTATTTGATTTGTCAAGATTACTTTTTCGTTTTATAACATTAAAATTTTTTTTGTTTTTTTGTTCAATCATGTTTTTACCAGTTTTACTATTTTGTTTATGCAATCTTGTAATGTTATTGTCATTGTTATCTATATTTGCTAATATTTTAGTATCATAAGCATACAATATGTTTCTATTTGTTAATAGTAAAATCATTTATACTAATTATGAATAGAATAGGTCCAAGCACAAAGCTTTGTGGTACTTATTCTATATCCAAGTCTCTTTCTAATGTGATGAAAATTCAATCCAGTTTAAAGTTTGGCCATTAATTCCACAACTTTAAAGTTTGTTTGTTATATATCTGTGCAAAACAATATCAAAAGCTTTAGCGAAATCCGTGAATATAACATCAACCGTGTCTTTTAATGGTAATGATAAGCAAGCAATGTTGTTCCCAAAACCATGTCGATTATTTGAAATTAGGTGATTTTCTTTTAAATGTTGAACCATACAATCAAGGAAATTGAATGATAGTTGCTAGAATTAAATCTACTAATACCTTGAATAAAGGTATTATGTGTGCTGACTTCCATTAATCCAGACAAGTTCATGATTGCATTAAAAGTGTGAATGTATAGCTTATGGGTGTATCTAATGTAATTGATTTACTTAATGCTATTGACTTATTTATCTGGGCTTACAGATTTTTTTGAGTTCAACTTCTCTAGCGAATTGTAAATTGATTTGAAATCAAGTAATGGTGTTCTTTGCAGGACTGTGGAGTCGGAGTTGCGGAGTTGCAACATTTTTAGTGAAGTTGGAAAAAGAACGTTTCATAAACTTGTCAAAAAAAAAATTTTAACTTATTGCGTAATTTTTTTAAGAATTCAAAGAATTTTTCAAAAATTTTGATTTGATTAGAATTGTAGTTGGAGTCGGAGTTAGAGTTGTAGTCAGAGTTGTACTGAAAAAATTTCAACTACTGGAGTCGGAGTTGTTACTTTTCTTTTAAGACTCCACACTCCTAGTTCTATATATACATTTTTTGTATTTTTTAAATCGAATTTTGGTAGCTCAACAACAAATTTTTTGTGAACACATTTTGAAAATGATCATACAATTTGTTAACTATAATTAGTGGATTTGTGATCAAACATCCATTTACATCTTAGAAAGAATTTATACTCAACCTGACCTTTTTTGCCTGCTTCAACTAGGAATACAAATATTTTGGATTATTTTTAATTTCTGAAACTATTTTTTCTTCATACTCACAGTTTTTTCAAGTTTTTGTATATTAATTTACTCTGTTTGTACTCTTGCAACATTCAATTGCATCACTTGAGAATATTTTATCTATTCTTTCATTACTTTCAGTTATTATAAGATCCAATATACTAGTTGACATATTTTCATCAACTTAAAAAGTTAGATCTGTAACAAATTGAGTTGCATTAGATTGTCTATGCATCATATAAATAGTCTATAAATTGATTTACTGAAGAAGTTAGTATTTGTATCATGAACTGGTTTAGTACTGCCATTTTTCTGATTTATAGTGGGTAAATTAAAATCACTGGACACTAATAATCTGTTAAAACTTTGTTGTTGTTAAATTTTTTACATGTGTGATAGATTGTGTTATTTAACATATGGGATCGTTCATGTAAGGTCTTTAAATGTTTTCTGAAAAACAGTGTTTGTTGTCTAAAATAATTTCACACTATAATTGTTCCAAATTATTAGATAACTTTTCATCCAAGATTTTGCAAGATTTAATTGAGTTTTGTACATATATGTAAAAAACTCAATTAAATCTTGCAAAACAAAATCTCCGCTATTACAATTGATACAATCTATACGGTAGAGGGTGTAAATTATGACATTATTATTTAGCAATGTGACATTAGTACAATAATGTGATAATCTATCAACAAAAATATTTTTTACAGCTTTATTTCTATTTGTAGTTATTATATTGTTTGAATTCTTTTGTTTATAACATATTCATTTGTGAAACTTTTCTTTAACATATGTTTTTACAAAAACATTAGTCAACAATATAGTCAATGGCTTATGCTTGAGTTTTCACCTTCAAGTTGAAAACTCAAGCATAAGCCATCAACAATATATTTATTATTGTTGATGGCTTATGCATATTCAAGCATAAGCCATCAATAATAGAGTTGATGGCTTATGCTAAAGTTTTACAGTCATCTCTAGGTTCAAATAGTAACTTATGTCCTTGTTGTTGTCATTCAAATGATAAATGATATTAAACTTAAAACAAGTAATTTTTGTTTAAGATTGCCAAATCCATTATTTTCTAGGTATCAGAAACTTTATAATAATAATACACATTTTTTATAGGTTTGATCCTTTTCAAACAAAAACTACTTATATGCGTTTTAGTGTATAACATTTAAGACATAAACAAAAATTAATTTGTAATTTACATATTTTCTTGTCAGCAATGTTACTTACATTTTACAGTCTTTATTGACATAGATTTGTGCATTAATTGTAAGCATAGATTTTAGTTTGTACTATTAACTCAAAATAAAGGAATTTTTATTTTTAACATGGCTGTTTTCTTTTTAGAAGACATGTCATCTTTACGTGCTTCTTCTTACTTAGATGGACATTGTTTAGAAACACATGTAAATGATGATGCTGCTAAATCACCAAGGGATTTCAATGATCTGCATCTTGTTCCTATGATTGAGATAAAAGAAATTGCCTGCTACTTATCACTTCTTGAGGGAGGTGATGTGCAAGACAAACTGGAATGTAAGACATTTTTTAAGTTGTTTAATTTTTATATGATATTTTTGTATAGTTACCAAGTTCTCCATAAAATCAAATCTAAAAAGTCTTTAGCAGTTAAATGAATGAACAAATGTTTTTTAAAGTAACTGATTTGTGTTTTCTTAAAGAATTTTGACCATTTATTAACAAGAAAATGAATTCCATTTTTTTTAAATTGGTGGCAATACATTCTTTTAAAAACATTATCAAAGTTATTGAAATAAAGCATCTAGCAATAATCAGCCATTTTTTATTCATTTTATGGCTACTTTTTATAGCCATAGCCAAATTTAGAGCATTTGGAATTTTTTTTCAAAATTTAGAGCATTCAGAATTTTTTTTTAAATTAACACCACATAGTGTGATGGTCATAATGCTTACTTTTTGACATTTCTTATCGAAACAATTTTGTCAGAATTTATGTAGCAATCTGCTTGATTAAAAAATAAATTATTTGATGGCATGCATTTATCACATATTAATCTTATATATGCTAAGTTTCATAGCTTTTATTTCAATATTTGCAAAGTTTCTTATTTAGTTTTTGTTATGACAGTTGTAACAAAATTGTAAATTATAAAAATTAACAATTAACGGTGTTATAAATGATTTAACAAAAGTGGTTAAAAGGTAAAATAAGATTTAAAAAATCAAAGATTTATAGATTTTAAAAGTTTTTTACAAACCCTTTACAAAGCATTAAAAATATCTAAGTCAAAAAGTTGCCATTTTTTGCTTACCAGAAATGCATTTTGGTGATATTTTTAATGGATTTTGCTTTTTCAGGCTTGATTAGGAAGTTGTGCAATCACACATCATTATATGACCACAGAAATAGTTTTTTTGTTTTTTGTTTTTATTTTTGTAGTTTTGACGGTTTGATCGCAGCTGTTAACATGTTTTTAGAATTTGACTATTTCAAAAATGCACTGAAAAATCTAGACAACTAAAAAAAAACTTTATTTAAAAAAAGAAATCTTAACGAAAGAGAAAATAAAAAGAATAAGACTAATAATAAAACAATAGAAATTTTATTAAAAATTTTTTTTTTTTAAAAGTAATATTTATTCATACTTATATTTTTTATATTTATATAACTTATTATACTTCTATAACTTCTTATTATTTCCTTTTTTTTTACCTTTTTTTTTCAGCATCATTTATTATTAAAGCACATTGTGTAACACAACTAGCTTAAACTCAAGTATTATTTGTTCAATACTGACAAATTTGTACTAAACTATTTTAATTGGGTGAAGAATTTAAAAATAACAAACACCAAAAATTTTAAAATGAAAATTCAATTTCAAAAATTTTTCTGATGTTTCTTTTTTTTTCTACCATGTAAAAAAAGAAGTATACTTTGAGAGATTAAAAGTTTAATTTTCTGGTTAAAAGTTTGTACTTGTTTTATTTGTTTGTCCTAAAATTTATTATAAAATTTATTATACAGTTGTAAGTAAAATCTGTAACAGTTTGTTGATAGAAGACATTATCTCATGATAACTTCAAATTTTGTTGAAGAAAAATCCCTAGACATTTTTTCTTGAAGTCCAAAAAATATTGCCCTGAGGAATAACATAATTCATTAGATGAAACATTGAATAACATTAAAAAATTATTTTGTAATAAACTACTGTTGGGTGTAATGTTTCTTGAACTTTGTTTCAAGGAAAACTTCATATTTTGTGTTACACAACCAATTTAAAGAAGCAACGTAACAATACTTAACTTATTTTTAAATTTGATATAAAAAACCAGAGCTTACTTATGGTTTTCTAATGTAAGAATAAACAGTAAGATTTTTTCAGACTTAATAGCTAAGGTTGTTTTGTTGTCTTCCACTGTATCTATATAAGAATTATTATCTTCATTCATCTTGAAAAGTTTTTTTTTTAAGATTATATCTTGAATATAGCATCTGAATATATATATTGAATATATAACATCCTCTTGATATAGCATTCTTTACCTCGCACTTTGCAATGATATTGCTAACGGCAATGACATCACAAATGGCAATGACATCGCAAATGGCAATGACATCGCAAATGGTTTTAAACGATAAAAAGGAAAAAAAAAATAAGAAAATGAAGATAAGGAAAATCAAATGTTATTTAGAAAAAAGATGAATAAAAAAACATCAACAAAATGTAAAAACAAAATCAAATAATACAAATAAAAAAATGACGGAGTAGAAATGAGATCAGGTAAAAATCAAAAACTACCATAAACTAAATACAAAGTTAAACGTTTAAAAATGTCTGAAAATCGAAAATAATAATAAAAAAAGAACAACAAACATTACTACCAGCAAAAAAAGAAAGGAAAGGAACAGTTTTTTTTAACTTATTAAGTTTTTTAAATTATTTTTGTACATTGTTCATAATGCAATGTATTTTTGTGTTAAGTCTAAATTGTCCTGTACTTTTGTACACTGTTTATTTTATAATGTAATTTTGTGCTCTGTTTTGCATTGTTGTTGTTTTTTTTTTGCTGTTGTTTTTTTGTTGTTATTTTTTGTTTTTGTATTCTTGGGTATTCTAGTGTATAGTTCATAATTTTATATGTTTTAGTGCGTTGTTTGCATGGGTATGCAGGCCTTGTGATGAATAAAAACTGCGCGAGGCATAAGCACGACATGATTTTTGACGTCATTAAATTCTTTTTATTTGCTTTTCGTATTTATCGACATTAACTGCACCAATTTACTTAATTACCGCAAAATTACTTTAAATCATTAATGTAGAAATGTTATTATTTAAAAATGTTTTGGAATGTTTTGTTTTTTAATATGTAAAAACATTTGTTTATTTTCTCGGCGTTTGACACGTTTTGTCTATACTAAACGAATAAAAAACATTATAACTAAACATTTAAAAAAGATTATAAAATATGCTAATATTTGATTTTTTTTTTTCTCAAATATGTAATTTAACCCTTTTGTGCCGGGATTTATTTAGGCGATTTAAAAAGCGCAATACTATGTCACGAAAACACTTAAATACATGGGTTTCCTTACAAAATAAGTTAAACAAAGTATATATTCTTGGAAAGCTGGCAAAATTTAGAATATAAAAATAAAAATAAGAAAGTAAAAAATTTAAATCTATGGCGTCTACATTATTTCATATTGATAAAGACGCTTTGCGAATTTTAAATAGTTGCGAATTAAGTATTTCAAATAGCTAGCTATATTGTTTAAAAAGTAACTCAAGGCTTGTAAAACGGTGCAATATTTATTCAGCTTTCATTTGATGGGTCACTTTTCTAATTTAGATAATTAGAAATTAAATAATTAACATTTTTCTCTGGTGACGTCAATTTTTTTTTTTTTTTTGTTATTCAATAAAAATATTAAAAATACTTATAAGGAAAATAAACTAATTTGATGGGATACTTTCCTTATTTAGATTAGTAAAAAATAATAAACCCACCCTTTGTGTAAAGCAAATACAAGTTTTTTCAGCTATTTTATTTATTATATTTTGTCAACAAAAGTGAATGTATAGATACATAATTTTAAAAATAAAACTATGAATGCCACATATTTCAACAATTAGAGACTGAATCAAGGCATAAATGGACATTGCAAAATGAACAAAAAACACAGATGGTATCCTTGTTTTAAAACATGTTGGGTTAGTTGACAGACAGCTCCTGCAAGATGATGGTGCTTTAGTCCATCAGTATCTTTTCCAGTGTAAATCAAGAACTCTGATATGTACCCGGTAGATGGCTCTGCCAATACCCAAGCTTTTATTCCAAATCTTGTACGTTTGCTTGGAATAAATTGTCGGAAAGAGATTCTTTCTTTAAAAGGTATCATACTCTCATCAATGCAAATGTCTCTTTTTGGTTTATAAAGATTTCTTAACTTAGGACAAAGGTCATCTAGCAATATACGTACCTTGAAGAGTTTGTCGTATCCTTCATTACCCCTTGGTATTGCTGCTGTCTCATTGCAAAAATGAAGATAACGATGAATTTGTCTATATCGATCACGAAGCATTACTTTACTAAAAGATGGAATAGCAAAAAACCAAAGTTTTTGTCTCCAGTAATCATGGATGCATGAAAGTTTTATTATTCCCATGGCTAAACAAATTGCTATAAATACTTTGATATCATTTGACATAACATCAACCCATATCATTCTATGCTTTATAGGAGAAGATTGTAACTTTCTTGAATGATAGTTATTTGTTTCAGTGACAAGTTTTTGTATTAAAGCATTATCAAAGAACAATTCAACGAGATGGATTGGTTTGATATTTCCATCGCAATTAGGTATTGCAGATCTTCTAAATGTTGGTCCTGGTGTTGCCATAAATGGAGTAATAGTTCTAATAATTTTATTTTTTTTCCATTCTCTACTAATAGTAGTAATAGTTTTTCCATTCTACTAATAGTAGGCTTCTTGGTCTTAATGGTATGAAGTCGTTTACTAGATGATTGTTTACAGATTTTTCTTTTATTATTTACAGTATCATTGCTATCAGCAAATGCTATTGTAAAGAGTCCTTTATTATCATCAGTTACTAAATTATTAATAGAAAAGGCGACATCTATATTTTCTGTTAAATCATCTTCAGAACTAACATATTCTTCAGATGATGAAGATGAAATTATTTCTGATGATGATGACTGACTTGGTGATAATGTCATTGTCAATGGAGCTGTTGTTGAGAAAATATCAGGCATCAGTTCTTGGAATTCGTTGTCATCAGACTCTGAAGACTCAAAAGACAAATCACTAACATCGTCTTTTTCATCAAGGATTTGAAGAACTTCATTTGGATCATTTATAATCCTATTTCTCAAAGCCATCTTGGCTGAAACTGACAAACAGCTACATATATTTTTGTCAATTATTTTCAGTGTTTTGTACATAAAAACTATCCGTAAATTAAAAATTCCAAATCTCTTAACCTCAATTTATATATGTAGAAGCACAAAAGATTAATATTTAAGACTAAAAGGCTTGAACTATAACTTTTAGAGAGGTTTTTTGATTGGTATATCCAAAATATCAGGCATCAGTTCTTGGAAAAATACTTGGAAAAAAACGAAAAGGTTAAAGTTTTTCGAATAATTATTTTTTCATTTTAAAAAGTCAGCGAGTAATAAACTGGAGAACGATATATAGTTTTTCGAATAATTTTAATATTGTACGATTAAAAACTGTGCAATAGCTAATATTTTTACTAGCGATTTTATATAATATTTATCTATTTATTTTTATTTTCAAAGCGGTTGATAAGCACAATTACTCGTATTACTAAAAAATTTTAACGAACGTTTTGAATAGATTTTTAATGTTTACAAGGAATTTTATTTTTGGTAAAATAAAATAAAATGTTAGAATAAAAATCTTATAGGTATAAAAGACATATTTTAGCGAAAAAATTATTCTTGAAAATTACTCTTAAAAATTATTCGAAAAACTATTGACGTTCTATTTTTCAGCAGCTGTTCTTGAGCACGCTTCGTTGAGTTTCTGTAACTTTTAACAAAAAAGCGATTGTTATTATTTAAGTAATTTTTTTCGCGTTACTTTTTACAAAAAATTTAATAACTGTACTTTTTTATTGAATCAAGTAGAATACGTTTTAATATTAATCCTTTTATTTTTTTTTTATTTGCGCTTACCAATTTTTAAAATGTTTCCTTGAAATTACTCTTAAATACTTTAAATTCGTCTAACAGTTAATAAATATTTTTAAATCTATAGAATAATTTTAAAACCTAACAAACCCCCGTAAAATAATTATTTAAGTTAAAAATCTAAAACTAAAAGAAAGTATTTTTGTTCAATTTTATTGACAACTTTGCTATTGCTCAATAATTTTATTAAAATGTTAGCTTAAAAAGATTTAAACATTTTTTTTTAATCTGAATTTTTTCTACTTGTAAATAATGAGCATATTTATTTTTTTTGTAATTCAAACTTTTATATCAACTGCGTGCGGTTTTTAAAATACTTTATTAAATGTTAAAATAATCGTAAATTACTTCATTAAAATTAAGCTCAAAAATATCTTTAAATATACTCAAACAAAAATTTTTTTGCTCGACGCAAATAGCCCTAGCTACACGCAAAATCGCTCTTGAACGACGTAAAGTTCACATCGCCCAACGCTTTATTGCAAGGCCTGGGTATGTATTTTTTTTAGTTTTATGTTGGTTGGACATATTTAAAAATGTATATATTTTTAAAGCTGTATATGCATATGTGTATGTATACATATGTATGTGAGTGTATAAATGTGTGTGTATTTATGTGCAAATATGTGTGTATCTATGCATGTAGGTAAGTATGTGCATATATTTTTTTATCTGTTTGTGTATGCATGTAACAATATCAAAGTTTCTTATTTTTTTAATGCTTATTTTTTTATTTATTATTTTATCTTTAATTTTTATCATATTTTTGTTATAGTATTATTTCTTTTAATTTTGAATATTTATCGTAACCACAATTATTATTATTATTAACTTTACTATTATTCCTATTTTATTATTTTCAATTCAAATAAATGTTTTATGTCATTGTTAGTTGTTACATTTTATCAGTCAACTGTTTGTAACTAATATGTATATTTAGCTATTGTGTTTATAAAAACAAGTGACATTATTTTTTATTATTATTGTTATTATAATTACTATTATAATTGTTATTGTTGATGTTTTTTTATTATTATTTTGGTTCTTATGTTTATTACTATAAATATTATTTTTATTATTTTTATTACTATTCTTATAATTATTACTAATTATATATAAAGATCTATATTTTTGGTGTTTACTTAAGATTAGTAGAATTACTAATTGTTAAATATTATATATATATATATATATATATATATATAATATACATATATATATATATATATATATATATATATATATATATATATATATATATATATATATATATATATATATATATATATATATATATATATATATATATATATATATATATATATATATATAATTCTAGCTCTTTGCCAAAAGTCTAGAACCTGATCTGTCACAAGACCTCACTTTCTCTTGATAGATTGTTTGGCAAGAGATCGAATTTTATAGCGGATCGATGCCATCATTTTGCAGATTTTTTTTTTCACCATATGGGTGGCATTAATCCACTTTATTTGGAAATCCTTTTTATTTTTTGATACTCCACCTGTCTTATGAAAAACTTCTTTAACTATTGCCCAATAATCTTCAATCTTGCGCTCTTTAGGACAATTTGGAGGATTTGCATCTTTAGAAACAATTTTCACATTTTTATCTTTGCACCACAAAGATTTTTTTTGAAGGGATTCTTTAATGTAGAGATCAGGAGTCGAGGTCTTCTTAGTGACAAAACCAAAAGACTGCATACCACAGCTACAAATTGCTTGTCACTTAAGGAACTTTGATGCAAATATTTTTTTGTCTAATATATTTAAATTGATCATCGATAGGTTTATCATTGTTCTCATAGTAAAATTGTTGACCAGGATATTGTGAAAAATCTGCCTTGCCATATATTTCGTCGTTGTCATTTTTAAATTTTTAGTGTTCATTATTTTTAAATTCTTCACCCAATTAAAATAGTTTAATACAAATGCACAAATAATACTTAAGTTAAAGCTAATTGCGTTACACAATGTGTAATCTTTGAAAATAAATGATACTGAAAAAAAAGGTTAAAAAAAAAAAAAGAATATGGGACAGAGCATCAATAGCGCTGAAACTATAAAAAGTTATATAAGTATAATAAATTATATAAACATAAAAAATATAAGTATGAAACTTTTATAATATTACTTTTTCAAAAAAAAAATATTTTTGTAAAAAACTTTTTTAAAAAAAAGAAGTTGTCTAAATTCTCAACATGTTTTTGACTTGACTAACAAAAATATGTTAGTCAAGTCAAAAACATGTTAACATGTGGTCAAACTGTCAAAACTACAAAAATAAAAAATATGATGTGTTATTGCACATATACATATATATATTAACAAAGAAAAAACAACTTTTTTTATGTTATTTTAAGTTTCATGCCTATACAGCAATCATCAGCCATTGAATACCATGGTATTCAATGGCTGATGATTGCCATTATAGGCATGAAACTTATATATATATATATATATATATATATATATATATATATATATATATATATATATATATATATATATATATATATATATATATATATATATATATATATATATATATATATATATATATATATATATATATACACACACAGAGCTCGGTCTTTAAAATTTTAGCTTTTTAAAAACCGTAAAACTGTTTTCATCACTAAACTCAATAGATATTATTTAATAAAAAATGTTTACGTCGATTATGATATAAAATCTTAATGTAAAACCATATTATCACTATTATTTTTATTATTAAAGATTATAATTTAAACTTTATTATTTTAATTTATTTTATAAAATATCAGATAAAATTAGAAAAATAAAGCACGATAAAGTACGATATAAATATTAAAAAACAAGCACTAATCTTTTATATCTTATTAAAATCTCATTCAATATTTTCTTATAAATTTAACACTTGTAACACTTTAGCTGAAATGAATATAAAGGCAGAGGAGTTAATATATAAAAAATAATTTAAACTTTTAAATAGTTACTTTAAAACAAAAAAAAAAGAAACTCTAATAACATATTTAAAAAAAATATACTTTATAATTTTTTTTCTTATTAAAAAATTATATTCTAATTTAAAACATTTAAATTTTTAAATAAATAATTCCATAAACTTTCCCCCTAAATAAAAATCTATTTTAATGTTTTATATAATGCGCAAGTAGCTTTAGCATACTTTTTAATTGGTTGTTTTTTTATACAAAGTTTTATACAATGCACAAATGGCTTAAGCATAGTTTTTCATTGGTTGATTTTTAAATTACCGTGAAAGTTTTTTGGACCTTTAGTAATAATAATTTTTGTCTTGCAACTTTTTTTTATTTATAATCCTTAAATTACATATTAATTATTATTAAAAAAAAAAAAAAAAAACTAAGAATATGTAAATTTTGACTGTTATTAATTCTGCAGTAGTAAATTTATTGTATTTCTTTTTCATTAATATTTGCAATATGATAAACTGACCGTTTCATTAAAACAGTGTTTATGGTTTTTAAAAAAACTAAGAATTTAATGACCACAGATATTTTCAGATATTGCAATTCGCCATCACTTAATTCAAGCCCTAATATATATATATATATATATATATATATATATATATATATATATATATATATATATATATATATATATATATATATATATATATATATATATATTAATGTATATATATATATAAGATTCTAAGAATATATATATATATATTAAGAAAAAAATTTGGGCTGTGGTACCCCTCGTTTCGGAGAACTTTAGCAGAAAATCAGCGGTTTTTTTGCGAAAATAACAATATTTGCCGTAAAAAACTTAAAAAAAAAAGGTCCTCAAATTTTAATTTATGCGGCGCCGAAATACGGTCGACGCTGTCGAAAACGGTCTAGAATAGCCCCTGATATATATGTATATTGCTCTATTTGAAATATCTTTTTAATATTGAGCACTCTTTTACAATTATAAGTTTTGTTTATATACACATATAATTTAAAATTAATGACTTTATTTAATTGATTCTTTATTTTATTAACTTTAGTTGTGTTTCGCGTTTATGATAGTGACAATAACAATTACTTAGATCAAAAGGTAAAAAAAAACTTCTTTTTGTTAAGTATGGCAGATTTTTATGCAGGTTTAAATTTATGCTGTTTTTTTTTTTATTAAATTTTAGGGGTTTTTTTAAATTATTTTTTATTACTTTGATTATTAGTATATCAAAAATTTATTATATGATTTTTGATGATTTTTGATAAAATCATTTTTCTGAACTTGCCTATCAATAAATTTGATTTCTAAAATAGGAATCAAATTTATTATACATTTATACATTTTTTTTTTGTATAATCTTTTTTCGTTTGTTACTTAGTGTAAGATGTTATTCTAATGAATTTTTGTCTGATTACATAGCCTACAATAAAAGTCAAGTAATTAATAATAATTTTAATAATTCAATAATTTCTTTGCAGGTTTGTTTGTCCAAAATCCTACACTTCTAAAGATTGATTAAACAAGAATATAGACATAATATTAAATAAATATAAAATAAACGCTAGTTTTAATCAAAAATAGTTTTAGCTTTAACTTCTAAAATCAATAGTAATAGAAAAGCATATAATAAAGAAAAAGAAAAATGTAATATAGAGAATAAAAAAATTTTTTAAATACATAAAATATGTAAATATAATTTCTAATATAAACTTCTAGAAAATAGTATAATAAAATATCTTTAACAAACAACACCCTGCAATACAATATACGATCGAAACTGAAAGCGAAAATAGAACTCTAAACTTCCTCGATTTAACCATAATAAATAACAACAAAGGAAAATATGAGTTTAAAGTTTACAGATAAAAAGCCATTACTAATATCCAAATTAAACATCACTCAAATCATCACCCTAAGATTCTAAACGCAATATTTAAAGGTTACATTTTACAGGGCTTATTCTTTAGGCAGTAAATTTATATTTACAAGATGAGATTAATCTCCTTATTCAAGTGTTTAACGAAAATGGGTACAACACATGCCAACTTAAACGGATTGCAAAATTAATTGGAAATAAACGGTCTCTAAAAATCAATAAAATTCAATCAGACTCTCTTAACATCCGTGCTGTATTGTTGCCATGGATACCATCACTATCGCCAAAACTAAGGAAAATATTTTGGAAAGCTGGTTATAGAGTAGTCTTCAAATCAAATCCAAATTTAAAAACAATACTAATGTCAAAAAACAAAACTAAATTACCCGGAAATTATTTGATTGAATGCAAATGCTTAAAGAGATACGTAGGCAAAACTAAACTTCAAATTAGGACTTGGACTCAACAACATCTAAAAAATTTAAATAGCCACCCATAATAAGTTTTGCTCACAAGAAATAAAGTGGTAAAAACGTAAACACAATTAAAGTTGAAACAAAAAACACTGATCAAAAAGTGCACGAAGCTCTAGAAATATAGATGTTCCAAAGTTCACCTTTACATGGCGGAATTAGTTTAGATAACAGGCAGTTAGTGAAAACTAAATTTTGGACTCCGTTTTTTACATTTTTAGGTAAGCAAGAAAGAAGCCATTCAACTGCTGACGTCAGTTAATTTTAAACTGTTTCTGTTACAAAAAAATTTTATTGTATAATCTTTACGAGCTGATGATGCTGGTAACCATAATCCAGCAAAAATTTCTAATAATAAGTTATTAATTGTATTAAGAGAATTCGTATTAATTGATGTTTTCTGACTAATATAACAATATATATCAAAAATTTAAGACAAATATGTTTTGTAAACAAAGTTTGTTTTACTGAGTGTATTTTTCCATGTTGCAATGAATTCTAATTAATTACAGAATTCTTTGAATAACGTTTTTTGTTTTGTTTTTTGTTTTGTTTTTATTGTATTATTTCTTTAGGAACTGGAGTCAATTGTAAATCAAATGATAAGAGTGGCTGAGTATCTTGGATGGGATACAGCAGCTATCCAACCAGTAATTTTTTTTTTTATTTAATAATATTCAACTAAAATGAAAAAAAAAAATTTAAGATAGTTATGTAAATATAACTTTACACAATATTTATATTTACATTGTTAAGAGTTAAATTACGACATATTTTAAAGTTCTACATTGTAATTAAATTTAATTTGAAACCACATTATAAATCATTTAAAGTCTCCAACTCTATAAAATATTTATAAAATTTCTTTAAATTAAACAATACTGTTATAAAAAAAGGAAGGAAAACTTTTTAATATTGTTCATCAACTCCCATGGTATTCATTTTTCTATTGTTGATGTCCTTTACAAAAAGAAACATTTCTAAGAATTCAATACTTATGATGAACATGAAGAATTTGATGAAGTTTTTGAAAGTTCTGATAATGAAATAAATGGAGAATGAAAGGAAGAGTTGGGCAACAAAGTTGTAATTAAATTGGCATACAATCTTTGTGAAACTATAATAAAAATTAAAAAAATTGCTAAGTTATTCAGGAGATCTCCAACCAAAAATGATATTCTTTAACAGTATTGTTTAAAACAGCTTGGAAAATAACAATCAATGATTCTTGACATAAAGGCGAGATAAAATTCTTTAATTAAAATACTTTCAAGATATCAAAAGATAAAAAATGTTTTAGATCCTATTCTTATTGATCTGTCTGCCAGTGATTTAATACTCACAAAATCAGTAGTTATTTTTATAAGGGATTTAGATGAGTGTTTAGAAATAATTGAAGTTAAAGCTGCTGTTCCAACCTCAATTATTTTTAACCTTAAATCTTTGTAAAAGAGATTTTGACATCTTGACAAGTGAAAAAGTTTTTAAATTTATTTTTTCAAAACTGAATGAAGAGAAAAGTGATGTTGGTAAAGAATTATACTGCTGTATTATAAAGAATCATTGAAAGAAGAAACTAGTATTAGTGGACTTATTAGATATTTAGACAATCCAAATTGCTATGATAAATTTACTGAAAACTCCAAAAATTTATCTTTATCCAAAAAAGAAGGATCTTTCAAAGACAGCAAAAGATCTATACAAAAGACCTTTTTCGAAAGATATAATCTCAATTAAAAATTGTACAATAGTATTAATTGATTCAAATGACAAGAGTGTTGCTCCAGTATTTAAAGAATTGTTGCCAAAAAGGAGTAAAATTTTTAAAAGAATAATTGTTTATATATATATCTGACACTGTTGTGGCAAAGAAGAGTAAAATTGTAAATTTTTATTTGACACTGTTGTGGCTTCACCAACTAAAAACATGTTATTATTTATTAAAAAAGAATTTGCATTGTTTGAAGCGTTTAATGATCGACCAAAAGGTTCAGAAAAGTTAAATTTAGTTCTTTTTTTTTTTTTTTGCCACCTGTGGAAACTGAAAGATGCTTCAGTACGACTGACTTATTTATTACTAATTTTAGAATATCATTAAGTGATCAAATATTTGAAAAATATGTTTTTCAATAAAGGTCGTATTTAACCAGAAATGAATAATTTTTGTGTTTGGCTAAAGCAATTAGCCAATTTACTTTTTTTTTTTTTTAAATAAAATATGCCACCATATATAAAAATTTTTTATATTATTATATTGGTTACCAAGATATTAGCCTATAAAGGGATATCTTTAGTTTTTACCACCAATTTACTTCGTACTAAAAACAAATGTTATTATTGATCCCATAATTATTTGAACTTATTATATATTATTTGAGATGTTTAAATAATTTCCAAAAATTATTTGTTTAATCAATTTAATTTGTAAAATTATTTGTCCATTATTTGATCAGTCCTAGTGGTACATCACTCTGAACTTTTATACACTTAAATTAGTATTTCTTCTCAACAACTGTATTCTTTCAGTCTTTATAGAATGTGATTATCCACCTCAGTAATTTACCATTAAGATAATTGGCTTTTACTTTAATTATCAACATTTCATGACAGACTGTTAAAAGCTTTTGCAAAATCTAGATATAACATGATTACATTAAAACCATAGTTCAGTGCCTCTGATGCAATGGCTATTGTCTCTACTAAATTTGTAACATGAATTTTGATTTAAAAAAGCCATGTTGTTAAGTAGAAATCAAATTATACAAAATAAAATAAGTCATTATATGTTTTTTAACATTTTCTCAATGATTTTTAATATCATTACTGTTAAAAAGGTTTCATTAACTGTATTGTTTACTTTTTCCATTTTTTTCAAGTATTCGGTATTATAACTGTCTCAAATAATAATACCATCAGACAGGAAATAAACTATTCTAATCCAGTGGCACATTCATTGAGAACATATGGCTTATGTCATCTGGTCTAATTGCTTTGTGCTTCTTCAGCTGTCTCGATTTGTTGAAAACTGCACTTTCATTAAAATCAGATTGATAAATCTCGGCAAATGCGTAAATGTATTTGTTTGACCAGCTTCAGTGAAAGCAGGCTCAAATTCTTTATCAAGGCATTTTGCTTTTTTTTTAATTTCTGTCATTTTTCTCAGGTTAGGGGATGGTAAATTTTGTTTTTTTATTGAAAATGTAACTGTAAGGTTTCATTTTTTAATTAGGTTTTTTAGAGTTTTGATTTTTTTTGTGCAGGGGGTATAAAGAATTTTTTTAGCTTCATACATGTCGTTTTGTTGATTGGGTTGTTGTTTAAGAAAATAATTGGTCAGCTGGTGAGTTTAAAGTAACTGTTAAAAATTTACTTGTTTAAGTCTTAAGGGCCAATTAATCCCCAGTAGTAAGCACCAGGTCATGTGTGTTTGTTTTTGTTGTGAATGTTGCAAAATATGTAAATTTTAAAGTGAGTATATTCCTAAAAATTTTTCTATTTATTAAATTTATTTAGATATTAATGGATATGTTGGCAGACATGGATTGTGATGCTGATGGACAAATTAGTATTGAAGAGTTTATAAAAGGAGGAATGAACAACATTCCTTTTTTAGTATTACTTGGAATGGATGTAGTAAGCTTTTTAGTTTAGAAAAGTCATTTTTAGTTATAATTGACTTTTAATTTTTTATTAAAATTAAAATTAAATTAAAATAATAACTAATTATACAAAATGATAATACGGTTTTTCAAATTATAATATCATAACAGTACTATGCCTTCTTGAATATGATTATTGTATTAATTATAATTATTTTATTAGAATATTATGGTTTAAAGTTTGTTTGTTTTTTTTTACTGACTTTTTTAAAGTTCTATTCTTAATTTATTTTTTTCTAGTCTTAATTTATTTTTTTAATTTTTAAGAAAGTAGATGAAGAAGGCAAGCATCAGGTAGAGTTTTCATATGATATTGTCAAGATAATTCTAATTTTATTACTTGAGAAAAAGAATTCTAGAATACATTTAATCTATCTTGTGTGTTACAGTTATATTCCTTGCAAATTTATTTACATTAACAATAATTTTCTTTTAGTGGCAAATGAAGCACTTTAAGTCACAAGCTTACTGTAATATTTGTCATAGTGCTTTAACAGGATTTCACCGTAAACAAGGGCTTGTTTGCATTTGTAAGTAAAAAATAATATTTTTATTACTTTAATGAAAATAATAGGAAAAAATAGGAAAAAGTATTTGTTATGTCTAGGATTTTATATATACATACATACATACGTATATGCATGCATGAATAAATTTGTATACATATATATATATATATATATATATATATATATATATATATATATATATATATATATATATATATATATATATATATATATATATACATATATATATATATATATATATATATATATATATATATATATATATATATATATATATATATATATATATATATATATATATATATATATATATATATATATATATATATATATATATATATATATATATATATATATATATATATATATTAGGGTTGTCCATTATGCAAAATTTTTATGCACATTCACGATAATTGTCTCTTGGAAATGTTGCAACATTTTCATTCGCAAGTAGATGTGTCAAATGCTTTATGGTCTGTTCTTTGATGGTTTTCAACCAGATAGCTTTAATTTCTAAAGTTTCAATTGGCAACTCTTTATCCAATGTTAGCCAAGAAGCTTTAAAATTAGCGAAGAACTTATTTTCTGGTCCAAAAATATTTCCAAACAATTTCTCCCAAACTACTCCGGCAAAAATTTCCAAGATATGGTGTTGACAAGCATGGTAAAGTTGTTTTCTACTTAAGCTTTCTTCGATCAGTTTAGCAACACCATTATGGATGCCACTGTTACTGGTTGTGGTATCAAATACTAATGCCACAGCATTGTCGCTGAGATCCCAAGCTTCTAGGAAATCTAATGTTGCATTGGCTTGAGTTTTTCCTTTTGAGTCAGAAAGAGCAGGAACTCCAAGCAATTTTCCCACACTATATTCCAGAGCTTCAGACACGAGCACGGCTAACTGTTCATGTTGTTCACCTACTATGTCTTTCAACAGTTGTCCATCCCAGTGAAAGGCACCAAATTAAGGACAGTTAAGTCTGACGCTATTTATAACATTCTCAGCAATTTTCTGTCCATTTAACATTCTGCTTTGAAGAGATGTCGATCTGGAGATATCAAAATAGTCCAAGTTTTCACTAGCTGCTTTAATTGCCACAGAAACAATCATAGTTGTTTGATTATCGGACAGCCTCAGCCTGTTGGCTGATGTAATTTCTTCACATTGCATTTCTTCACAGCGGCTGATGTAATTTCTTCACATTGCATAATTCTTTTGGGTATGTAAAGAATAACAAATTCTGATCACCTATCGATAGGAGGTTCATAATTCAACTCACCTCATACCTTCATCTACTTCTGTAACAGCAATTGCAATATCCTGATCACTATTTTGTTCTTTATCGTTGACTTCCATATCTTGATTATCCTGATCATCCAGTATGTCTTCATGTTTTACTCTTTCTTTTTCTTTATTGATTAGTATCAATTTCGGATTGTATCTTATTTGCAATTGTATCTTGATCTCAAAAGTTTTATCATGACCATCCATGGTTGCTTTTCTGTCTCTTTTTTGATCTAAATAGAAAGCAATATCATTTTTCTTTTGTGACAACTAAAGTCTGGATTTCGTGATTTCCTCAATGGCATTAAATGATCTGATGTCAAAAAGGCAATCCAACTTGGCTAAGAAGTTGCCACATTTTCTACCCGGATTACCTTCATGATTCTTGTTCTTAGACAAAATGTGCCACTTATTCCAAAGTACCATAACATCCAACAGACAATTTTTTTCTTATTTTGTTTTGATGTGTGCAATGTTTCAAAAAGTTACCACATTGTCAATAACTGTATGCCCAATTTCTTGATTTGTTATATGGTTTCAAATATTTTCTTCATCGTGTCATAGGAAAAGAAAAAATTTTAAAACTTGTCAGCAATCAGGCAGCTAGGAACCAGTAATTGATGGTGATGAGTGTCTAATTAGCCAAGAGTTCGTAGATCCACTAGTAGTAGGTTTTTCTGTGGATGATGGAGGTGAAGTCAAATTAGAAGTATTTAAAGACATTCTTGAACTGGTTAGCAAAGATGTTGACTTGCACTCTGTTTCTAAAACTTTGCTGCTTCTTGTCAGCATTATTATTTTAAATTTATTTCACTGTAATTAACAATATTTAGCATTAAATTGCTGTAAATTATCATAACAGTTATAAGATAAATAATAATTGTCAATATCTAAAAGTTGTATTATGTTATTAACCAAAATAGAAATAAATGCATGCAATTTTGCTACTGTTAAAAATATGAATTTGGGGCTTGTCTTTGGGGGCGTTGAGGGGGCTCTAGAATAGTTATTAAAATTTTGTAAAAAATATTTTGACTTAATATTTTACCCTAGTAGTAGATTGGCAGAAACTTCAATCCCGGTGTTTTGAAAAAAAATTTGCATAGTGGACAACCCTATATATATATATATATATATATATATATATATATATATATATATATATATATATATATATATATATATATATATATATATATATATATATATATATATATATATATATATATATATACATACACATATATATGTATACACACACAAATATATTTTATATATATATATACACATATATGTGATATATATGCATTTGTGTATATATATACATACGTACATGTATATATGTATATGTATATATGTAAAATATTGTATATTTATTAAACCACTATCAATAATAAATTTTTAAATTTCTAAAAATTTATTTTTTCTCTAAATTAGTTTAAATATTTTTGATAGTTTGTCATTTTACGTGTCATGAAAGATGTGTGAAAAGAGTCCCAAATTCTTGTATTCAAACGTATACAGAGTCAAAGTCAAAAATGAAAGCTACAGTAATTTTTTAATTATTTTTTATACAAATAATAATTATAATATTAGATTTAATCTTATAGTTATTTGATCTGTATTTTAATATTTATACTGTATATATTACTTTATACTTTATGCTTCTAATTATGTTATATAAACTAACAGAAAATTCTTGAACAAATTTATATTAGCACTTTAGTTTAATAAATAGCAAAAAAAGCGATTTCTGATTCAATCAGTGTTCTTATGGTTATTATGCTGGTAATATGTAGTTTAAACAATTTTTACGTTTTCCATTGGTCTCAAAAAAATTTTAAAAATAATTTTTTCTATTGTCTTTTAAATTATAACGATATTTTAGAGCCCCTGTTTCTACTTATTTGACATTTAATCCAATTTTTTCAAGTATCAAATAAGCTTCTTAATGTAGAGACAACTGGTTAAGGCTTAACATAATGTAGATACAACTGGCCGAGGTAATGAAACAAATTCTGCTTAGATTATTTAAACTCACATATTATTGCTTACATCCTAAATGTATGACATAATTATAGAAAATATTTTTCTTTTGCTTTTAATGCATAGGATAAAATTAATTTATTATCTGATTTTTGATCCCATGGGCATATTTCATTCATCAGTATATCCAAGATGTAAACCCAGGTTCCCAGGTGATTTTTTAAAGATGATTTTTCTATCAAAAAAGAATGTTGTGACACATGACATATTTGTTTATTATCAAAACCCAAAAAATTACTTATTGTTATTGCAGTTGGTCCTTCTTAAATCTTATAACAAATGCCTCCAAAAAAATACTCATGAAAAACATTAAAGTCTTTCATACCAATTATACCTATGATCTACTGTTTAACCAAATCCTTAGTATATTATATATCTGTATATATATGTAAACATGCACATACATACAAAATATCTTTATGCACTTAGCTTTGTATTAATTGTTGCTAATGATGTCATACTCAAATAATCATCTGAAGGGGTCTCACCACATATATTAAATGGGTTTTGGGTTTAAACAAATACAATCTAGGTAAGTTAAACATCTGTTACAAAAAATATTTCACTTAGAATCTGAAAAATATAGTAGTAAAATGCACACCAAAATATGGCTATTTTACTTGAAGAGAATAAAATAATGTATCTGCTCATTTAAACCCTGTGGCTTTCAAGCTAATGATTTCAGAGATGTAACTTTTATTTTGTGAAACATGTTGAGATTATTACAAGAAGCATTAGTTTTTTTTGTATTAGTATGAGTGTTCAGTGTCTTCCATGTTGAGCATAAATTCTTTTGTTTTTGAATCAATCTTTTTGTTAATTCTTACAGAATTAACAGTAACTATTTTTCAGGTCATACATTGCTATTGATTTTATGTTTTCACACACATTATTGCACAATGATAGTATTCTACATAATTTTAGCAGACAAATCAAATAGTTTTTTTATTAATATTCTATTTTCTTTGAATTATATTCCTCTAAAATAGCTCCTTGTTTGCTTGCAATTCAACACTTTATTGTGTTTTTTAAAGTTTGTTAAATATATTTTGAAATTGAACTACCCAAAACTTTAGTTTTTACTAGAGATTAAAGCCATGCTTTGAATATGCAACTTGCTGTTTGGCAGTTATAGCTGATGGCTGCAAACAGAGCAACTTGGCAAGTTGCAACTTTGTTGGTAATGTTTTTTACACTAACAAAAAATTTTAATTGCAATTTTAGGTCAAAATATCTATTTTATTTAACAATTTAAAAATCAAATAATGTTTATATCATCTAATATTAAATAATAACAGTTATGTTAATGTTTAAATAACTTAAATTCCTTCTTCTTGAGTTCAGAATTAATCAAGTTGTTAAAAACATTGACTTCACTGATAAACTATGGGCTAGTATGCTAAGATATTCTTTTTCCAGCACTGCCAAATCTTGATTCTTACAGATACTTGGTAATTACTTCAAAATGATAAAAAGGTACTGTTCTTTATTTGTAGTAGGTTGAAGTAGTTCTTTATTTTTGGAAGATAGGGGTAGTTTTTCATCTGTGATAGGTTATGGATGTTGAAACTAATGAAATTGCTCCTATTCTTAGGTATTGTATTTTTTCAAGTAGATCAGATCTCTATAATAACATGTGTGAAATTTTTTTTCTTCCATAACTAACATTCATCCCAGCCCTCAATGCAGCAGAAATTTAGCAGGTTTCATTCATTAAATGAAGTAAAAATGTTTTACCCAATGATAACCTATAAAAAAACTTTTATATTTAACAATGTTTATATATAAAATTGTCTGTAAAAACTTATAAGTTTTAGATTTTCAATTTATAACTCTTTAGACTACTTTTCAGTTTTTATCCCCAAGCACATCTTTCTATTTGATCAAGTAAGAAGTCCACATCTTCCATTTTCGAAGCTTCAAAAAAATCAGATCATCTTTCAATTCATTTTGTTAAGCTAGTTTGATCAAAGTTTTGCTTTTTGAATTCATTTTCAATGCTGACCATTTCTTATAGAAATGCCCAAATTTATAATGAGGAGAGTTTAAATAAATTCTGAAATGTACTAGAATGTTCTAAAAAATTTCTAGTAATTTAAAAATAATATTAATAATAATAAATATGAATTTACTATTATATAATAATAATGAAAGAGTTTATATTTTTGTAAAAAAATTATTCTTTTTAAAAAAATAATAGAGTTTTGACTGAATTATATTCTGTCAATTAGAGACTTAAATTTCAGATCATTTTTTTGTTAATCTCATAGTGTTTACCAATATATCATAAATAAATGTAATATACAATAAGTAAGCAGAAAGGTTTAAATAGCCAGTCAACACCAAGTAAGCAAAAAGTTTAAATGGCTAGTCAACAAACTTGTTTATTCTTATTAAGCTTGAATGTGTAAATTTATGTACATTCTTTTTTTCATTGAAAGTTATGTAAAAGTTTATGTTTAGGTTATGGACCACCATTGGGTTGAAGGAAATTGTTCTGGCAAATGTTCAAAGTGTAATAAAACCATTAAAATGAACTGTTTAACAGGGCTGCATTGTGTGTGGTGCCAAGCCAAAGTAATTATTTGCATTTTCAAAATTATTATCATTAAGTTTTGGAGAATATGTATATGATTAATGAAAATGAAGAATAAATCCACGTTAACATTAAATATACTTTAGGTACACAATCGTTGTGTTCAATACATGCAAGTAGAATGTTCATTAGGCAAACATCGTGTACACATTTTACCTCCAATATGCATTACACCACAAACTGCAGTATGTTTTAATGCTTGATGAATAATATTCTTTTCAAATTTCTTTGTATTTTATATCATTATTGGCTTTTTAGAAACGTGGAGGACGTAATGTAAGAGAAAAGAAAAATTCTGTAATTAGTTATGACGGCATACCTATGATGATTTCTCCATTACCTAACAGTCAACCATTGGTAGTTTTTGTTAATCCAAAAAGTGGTGGAAGGCAAGGTGCAAAGTAAGCAGCTGTTATTTATTACTAGTATATATTTTTGATAACATTTTAGTTAATACAGATCAAGAATGATCTGTCAAGAAGTGCTAAGTTATACTCTAAATATTTTGTAGTTTATAATTCTTAATTTTTGTTCTTGAATATTGTTATTAATTCTAGCCAATCAAATTTACAATAAATATGAAAGACAACTTCTGCCTTACAAAAAAAAAAAATTAAATTCTTTAAAAAAACTTTTAAGAAATCTACGATTTCTTAAGAAATGTTGCGCTTCACCTAAATAAATTATTTATAAGTATATATAACATGAATGAAAATGTTAGTTTATAAATACGCTGAAAATTTTAAAAATGTTGAAAATGCTTTTTTTATGATATTTGTTATTTTCTTTTTTTTTTTTAATTTTTTTTTTAGATTATTAAACAAGTTTAGATACTTACTAAACCCAAGACAAGTGTTTAATTTAGCTGATGCAGGGCCCTTTCCTGGTCTAAAATTTTTTTCCCAAATTCCGAACTTTCGCATTTTGTGTTGTGGTGGTGATGGTACAGCTGGATGGATTTTGTCCACTTTAGGTTCTTCAGCTATTAGTTTTCATGTTAAATTGTTGTTAAAAGTATATTGGGTTGACAAAAACCATGTATGTGGCAAAAAATATGCAATTTTAAAAATATTTTTTAGATCGTCTGTCTAGCTTAAAGGAGCGCCCTCCAATGTCAATACTTCCTTTGGGTAAGATTCTTTTAAACATTAGTTAAAGATTCTTTAACTTTCAATCATTAAATTTATTAATTTATACAAAAGACTTTTTTTGTTTTTGATTTAAATGTTTGAAAATGTTTGTGCAAATGCAGCATTAAAGTTTTCATTTTTAGGTACTGGAAATGATCTTTCGCGCTGTTTGGGATGGGGTGGAGGTATCAATATAGTTAACTTTTAAATTAACTTTAATTTTCTTTAAAATTATTTTTCTTAATAAGGTATAAAGTCTTAAATACTACAAAGTTCCATCCTTGGATTAATGTCCCTCATCCATAATAATGATCTTCCTGATAATATTACCTCTGAAGTGGCTCTATTTGCTGACAACATAACAATATACTTTAGTCTTGACAAAAAGTCATCACTTTTTGATTGCTTAGAACAGCTTGAATTTGAAAATGATCTCTCTTCAGTGACAGTTTAAGCTCAAAAAGGCTCGTAAAATTTTATTAATAACTCAGTTATTTACTGCCATCATCACAATGTTATTGATACTCCTATACTGATGAATAGTAATAGGACTTGCGACAATAGGGCACTCTCGGTGCCTTTTAAAAACTATTCATCCTATGGTTGCTGCTAAAACATCATCTGCTCAAACTATCATCTCTATTTTGATCTACCAAAACTTGTGCAAAGTTTAAAAAAAGCTTGGGGTTTGCAGTGGTGAATTTTACCTCGAACAAAACTTAGTTTGTTTCACTCCAAACAATCCGATAAGTTTCTCTTTATAGGGGTTGCCATTTTTTTACTCCTGATTTCATTTTCTACATATATAAATTTCTTGTATGGCTGGTTCTTCTAATGAGGTCCTCTTTCTTTTAGAAAATGGCTAAAATTGCAATTGCAAATGTTATTGCACCTGTTCTAGTTGCTAATTTTGAATTAATGTCCCATGGTCATAACATCAATTATAAGATTGCATTTCTTTCTCTTTTCTACAAATATTGTTATGGTGGCTTCTTAAGTAAGCTATCATCACTTGTTCTGTCAACTAAAACTGAACCTTGCATAGCTTGTCATTCAGTAAAATCACATCCTTTTACTGTAACTGTCACTTCATACTTCAAACTTTTATTTATCTAGTTTTTTTTCCTTGCGCATTAATGCTTTGAAACTCTCATCAATATTTTTTTGACTCATAGTTTGTTTTCTGTTGATCTTCTGTCACTTAAGTAATTTTTTCTGTTGCTTTAAGTATTCTTTTGCTTTTTAACTCTTTTCTTTGTTTTCGGTTTTTTTTTAACTTTAGTCATTGCTTGCAGCCTTGTTTGGGGTGAATTTGCTTTAAAAATTTATAAATATATGTACATATATTCATAAAATGGTTTTAAGTAAATTAAAAATACCATCCTGCCTAATCATTATATTAGGAAATTTGAAAAAGAGATGGTTTATTCTATTTAAAAAGGTGACAGAATGGCATTCCCATCACTTTGAGCACTGCATATATATATATATATATATATATATATATATATATATATATATATATATATATATATATATATATATATATATATATATATATATATATATATATATATATATATATATATATATAACTTATATTGCATGTTCAGCAGTCTAACAGCATACTGAAATATCCTGCTGGCGGGGACTTCAGTACAATGCATAGAATGATTAAATAGGTGGAACATTCAATGAGTGTGCTGCATTGACTAAGAGTTTGGGCTGGGCAGCAATCTCTTTTTTTATTATTGTTTTTTTTTCTGAAAAAGCTATATGAGATAAAGTAACCAAAAAAAGTCAACAATAATATATCTATATACAATATATATATATATATATATATATATATATATATATATATATATATATATATATATATATATATATGTATGAATGTATGTATTTTTTATTTAGGCTACGATGGAGGGAAGATAGAAAAATACCTTATTAAAACTGCAGAAAGTACCTCAGTTGCAATGGACAGGTATGTTTGTTTTTATGATTAACTTATGCTGTACTGTTTGTTTTGAAGTATATACTGGACTGTTTGCATGCATTGCTTTTTTTAAATGACGCCTGTGAAATTTATTTAAGTGAAACACCTGAATTTATTGTGACTGTTCCTTAGAATGCACCTTAAATATATTTTTTAATATGTTACTGAAAGATGACTTACTAAATACCTTGGTACAGAAAACAAATAAATTTACGGATAGAGTTATCAGTTTTTGCACCCTGATAATTTAGTCCTTACTGTAGTTTTGTATAGTGAGTAAACAACTATTGCAACTTTCTCTGAATAGTTCACTCAAACAACATGTATTGCAGGAACACTTATGATAGAAACTGTAACCCATAAAACAAGTAACAATGAAACAAACAAAATTAAAGAAAGACAAAGTAATTTGGTGATTGTAAAATAGTGTTACATAATATAAATGGAAAGCCAAAAGAGATGTGTTCATCATATCTAATGCAAATTTTCAGAAATAGTAAAAGTTACTTATTACCATAGAAAAAGAATAAACCTAATACAGTCTGACACTACAATAAAATTGTATAATGATAACTGGCATTGACCGAAATGACCTGTTCATATCCTAGAAACAACTTTAGCGAATTCAACCTACCTGTGTACAATATTTCAACTGTTTATTCTATCTGCACTTTTCAAGTTTCAGAAATATTTAAAAGTTTGATTCGCGACCAAATTGAAAAACCGTCTACGAGACCTTTGGCAAGTTCCCACTATCCATTGACCATTAAATTAAGCTGGAAAAAAGGAGATAAAAATGTACGAAGTACGCAATAAATGAAGTAAGAAAAAATTCTTGTGAAAACTGCTCTGACCAATCAGCTTTTTTTATTGATCCCTGATTTAGATTCTTTTAAGATGGATTTAAGTGATGGAATGGATAAACAGTATTTTATAAATTTAATATATAATTTAATCTTTTTTTCAGGAAGATATGATAAAAAATATGTCTTTAAAATGTTTATTGAATATAACTTTTCTCTAAAAAGTTATGTTCAATAAACATTATACACATTATGTTATTATTTTATGCAGCATATATTTTATAGATGTATAATAACTTATACATGTATAATAACTTATGCAGCAAAATAGTTTTTGTTGTTATTTTATAATTATTATAATATGTTGTTCTGCAAATTTGTTTACATTTTTTTAAAGGTGGCAAATTGATTGTGAAGAAATTGATAATAGTGAAGAATGTGATGTCATGCCACAAAATATAATGAACAACTATTTTTCCATCGGCGTTGTGAGTTTTATCTTTCTTCTTATTATTTTTTTTTTCATTGGCGTTGTGAGTTTTATCTTTCTTCTTATTATTTTTTAATTTAAAATTTTTTAAATTACTAATTTATTTTATTTAAGGATGCTTCAGTTGCATTAAAGTTTCATTTACAAAGAGAAAAGAATCCCGAAAAGTTCAATAGCAGGTTTAGAAATTTATTTTATCCATATATAAGTTTTTTGAGTTTTTACTGTTTTTATTTTTGTTCATTATTAAATATATATACAACCCTCGGAATACAAAAAAATGAGTTCGGCAATTTATTGCTGACTTCAAACTGTTTGAGTTCGCATCAGGTCAGCAAAAAAAAATTTGACACAAAGGGGTGACCATAAATCATAGAAATAAGGTCGGTTTTTTGTATATGCTTTTATATATAAATGTATATATATTAAAGTCAGGTCAGGTTTATATTAAAGGTCAGGTATATATTAAAGTCAGGTCAGGTTTATCCTGATGTCAGGTCAGGTTTATCCTGCTACTGGTAACATGTAACCCAGTACAATTTGCTTCATGTCCTGCTGCCTTGTAGGATATGCCTTTTTAGGCAAAGGCTAGGAGATGCAAAATCCGACATAAAATACCCCCTGCCTTAAGGCTCTTGGTTGAGTAAAGGCTAGAGATGGTGTCCCTGTTTGTACTTTTGGTGTGCATTGCCAAGGCCACATTGGAGCCCTTTGTTACGGCTTAGGGTTTATTAGTGGAAATGAGGCAATTGCTTGAGCTATAAAACAGTGTACTGAGTACTATCTATGTTTCAAGTCAAGTTCTTTAACAAATTTAAAAATAAATAAAGTAACAAAAACTATAAAACACAAAAATCACTAAGTTCGCTAAACCTATCATTCACCAATATTCGTGGTCTTCGAAGTAACTTTTCTTCTGTTGAGTCTTATCTCTTGCTAAGTTCACTAGACCTACTTGCTCTTTGTGAGACTAAGTTGAGTTCAGCTGTTTCATCTTGCGATCTTAGTGTTGATGGTTATCTTCCTTTAATTTTTTTTTTTTTTTTTTTTTTTAACATCTTCACTTCCAACAAGGCTGCAAGCAACCACTATAAGAGTTGGAAGTTACTGGAAGAGAAAAGACTAAATCTGTAGAGCAAGATGATGATTGACTGATGACTTAAAAGATTGCAAATTATATGAATCAGGAAAGCAATATGAAGGAAGCGAATTCCAAAGAACTGATGTTCGAGGAAAAAAACTAGACGAATAAGAGTTTTTGAAGCACTTAGGAACAGTCACAGAAAAAGGATGAGACTTAATTGAATGGCGAGTAACACGAGAATGAATTTTAGTAGATGGCACAAGGGACGCTAGCTCTTTAGAGCAATGCCCATTATAGTATTTGTAGAAAAGAGAAAGAGAAGCAACATTACGACGATGTGACAAAGGTTGGAGATTGGCTGCCAGAGCAGGTCCAACTATGTTTACAATTCGTTTTTGCACCTTGTCTAAAAGAGAAAGAGCATCATTAGAAGATCCGCCCCAGATGTGGCAACAGTATTCCATACAGGGCCGGATTTGAGATTTATAGAGATAGAGAATAGAATCTGGAGTAAGAAAGTGTCGAGCTCGATAAAGAGATGCAACCTTAGCAGATGCTAATTTTGCAATGGATTTGATATACGGTTTAAAAGAAAGATCAGAAGTAAGAGTTAATCCTAGAAGATGAATGGTAGATGACTCATCTAGTACATTACCATTCATAAATATAGGAAGATCTAAATTATTACGATAACGATTGGCCGAATAAAATTGAGTTTTATCTGAATTAAAGTTCACCAGCCACTGTGAGCCCCATGCTGTAGCAGAAGTGAGATCCTTTTCAAGCTCAGATACCCCCTCCAAGCAATCAGAGAGTGTAGGCTTCTTATCATGACAAGAGTAAATGGTAGTGTCGTCAGCGAATAATGCCACCTTAGATGTGAGAATATCTGGAAGATCGTTAATGTAAATTAAAAAGAGTATAGGGCCAAGGATTGAACCTTGAGGAACCCCTGAAGTTACAGGATGTGAAGAAGAGTGTTGTCCATCGAGGACAACTTTAATACTACGATTAGAAAGAAAGGACTCAATAATCTTAAAGATGTTACCAGCTACACCATAAGAAGAAAGCTTATGGAGAAGACCAGCATGCCAAACTTTATCAAAAGCTTTAGAAATGTCAAGTGCGATAGCCTTAACCTCTCCACCTCTATCTAATGCACGGTAAAACCTATCGGTTATTACTGTTAGCACATCAGCTGTAGAACGAGAAGACCGAAATCCATATTGATGATCAGAAAGTAAGTTATTTGATTCAAGATGAGAGATTAAGTGTTTGTTGATTAAAGATTCAAAAACCTTGCTTATGACAGGAAGAAGACTAATGGGACGGTAGTTAGATGAATCAGATCGCTCTCCAGAATTTTTGAAAATAGGGATAACAGATGCTGCTTTCCAGCATGATTGAAAACAAGACTCTGATAAGCACTTGTTAAATAGTTTTGAAAGTTTGGATGAAAGCTCCGGAGAACACCTCTGCAAGACTACAACAGGATTGTTGTCAGGACCACAAGCTGTTGAAGAGTCTAAGCAGGAAATTACTTTTGATACAGAAGCTGAAGTGATGCGAATGTCAAGCAAGGGATCAACCTGTTTGACAGCTATGTCAGGTAAAACGCAACTAGTGGAATCGAGAGATGATATTGATGAAAAGTTCTTAGCAAACAATTCAGCTTTGTCTTTAGGTGAGGTGACAAAGTCTGAACCATACAAGAGAGAAGGAATAACAGATTTGCCCTTATTATTGATACTGTTACAGATTCTCCAGAAGTCTCGAGAGCCTAATTTTTGTGATGAGATACGAGATTTAATGACCTGAGAATAGCGAGCTTTGGCGTCAGACAAAACTTTTTTATAATGGTTTCTGGCGATAGTGAACAGATGTCTGTTTTCTGGAGAATTGTTTTGCTGATAGATATGGAAGTAACGGTTTCGATTAGAAATTGCTGCAGCACAATGTGAGGAAAACCAAGGAGAAGAGTGAGGCTTGACCTGGAATCGTCGAGAGGGAATAAAAGATTCCATGCCAGCCTGAATCCACGAAGTTATGTAAGAAGCACATTTGTCAGCAGGAAGACGAAAGATTTCTACCCAAGGGCCATCACGAAGAAAATCACGGAAAGAGTCCCAGTCAGCTTTAAGGTAGTTGTATGTGGTACGATGATAGGGGGATTCTGATGAAGTAGAAGAGTTTGATAATAGTTTTAGAGAGATCAAACCGTGATCAGAAGTACCTAAGGGTGAATGTGGAGAAATTGAGCACTGACTAGGATCCAAAACAAGACATAAGTCGAGTAGAGAAGGTAAATGATTAGGGTTGTCTGGAAAACGAGTTGAGGTTTCAAGGCCCTCAACTTTTCCAGTTGAGTCTGGAAAAGTTGAGGGCCTTAACGCCAGCAGAGTCACTGACACTAGAGCCAAGCCAATCGGTGTGATGGGCATTAAAGTCACCAACAACAACGATATTGGCCGATGGATAAAGAATGAGGGCTTGGTCAATTTGATCAGAAATAGCATCAAGAATAGTGCAATCTTGGGATGAAGGAGAGCGATATAGAACAAAGAGAAAGGCGATAGAGTGAAGTTGTGCTAAACGAAAGCACATAAATGAATAGTCTGTAGATTCAAACCTAGTTTCACGACAAATGGGTGAGTTCTTACGAATGTAGATGCCCAGGCCAAGCATGTGATTATTGGAGTCTTTACGAATTAAAGGAAGATAACCATCAACACTAAGATCACAAGATGAGACAGCCGAACTCAAATTAGTCTCACAAAGAGCAAGTAGGTCTGGTGAACTTTGCAAGAGATAAAACTCAACAGAAGAAAAGTTACTTCGAAGACCACGAATATTAGTAAATGATAGGTTTAGAGAACTTGGTGATGACGATGGTTTTTTGTGTTTTTTAGTTTTAGGTACTTTAGTCATTTTAAATTTATAAAGAACTTGACTCAAGTATAGATAGTACTTAGTACACTATTTAACAACTAAGCAATAGCCTCATTACTATTAATAAACCCTAAGCCGTAACAAAGGGCTCCAAATGTGGCCTCTGCAATGCACACCAAAAGTACAAACAGGGACACCATCCATGCGCAACATGGCACTGTTAGTACTCTGATGTTTTTCGGCTGTTGATGGAATCAGCCTCTCTGAGAGCTACCACAGAGTTCGGGAAACCTGACTACCAGTTGGCCTCAGAACCATAAAACTGAGTTTTAGAGCTGTACCCTCATTAGGAGATAATAGAATGAGTTGCCCAGTCATAAAAATAGAGACACAAGCAATACCCACGCATTGAGTCAAGAAGATCCAGCGTTCAACATCCTAAACTGGAAACAATGTATTAAAAATACATCTGCGCCAGCCTAATAGATGAGGAAGGGGTGCGAGGCTGGTCCTAGGCAAAGACTTAAGGGGTAAACAGATAGAATCTGTTTACCCCTTAAGTCTTTGCCTAGGAGGCCTTCTACAAGACAGCAGCTGGATGCATGTAACATCTGCCCAAGATGAGTATTTTTATCGAGACACCATCTCTAGCCTTTACTCAACCAAGAGCCCCAAGGCAGGGGGTGTTTTAATTCGGAGTTAACTTCTCCTAGCCTTTGCCTAAAAAAGCGTATCCTACAAGGCAGCAGGACATGAAGCAGGTTGTACTGGGTTACATGTTACCAGTAGCAGGAAAACCTGACCTGACCATATTTGTAAAGACTCCAATAGTCACATGCTTAACCTGGGCATTTACATTTGTAAGAATTCACTCATTTGTCGGGAAATTAAGTTTGAATCCACAGACTACTCTTTTATGTGCTTTCGTTTAGCACCACTTCACTCTATCACCTTTCTCTTTGTTCTATATCGCTCTCCCTCATCTCAAGACTGCACTCTTCTTGATGTTATTTCTGATTATATTGACCAAGCTCTCATTCTTTATCCATCAGCCAATATTGTTGTTGTCGGTGACTTTAATGTTCATCACACTGAATGGCTTGGCTCTAGTGTCAGTGACTCTGCTTGGCTTCACACTGAATGGCTTGGCTCTAGTGTCTGTGACCATTAAGGCCCACAACTTTTGTCTTTCTCAATCCCTAACTCAAATAGTCAACTTTCTAACTCGCTTTCCAGACAACCCGAATCATTTACCTTCTCTACTCGACTTATATCTTGTTTCTGATCCTAGTCAGTGCTCAGTTTCTTCACACTCACCCTTAGGTGCGTCTGATCATGGTTTGGTCTCTCTAAAACTATTATCTCATTCTTCTTTACCATCAGAATCCCCCTATCATCGTACCCTATACAACTACCTTAAAGCTGACTGGGACTCTTTTCGTGATTTTCTTTGTGATGGCCTCTGGGTAGAAATCTTTCGTCTCCCTGTTGACAAATGTGCTTCTTACATAACTTCGTGGATTCAGGCTGGCATGGAATCCTTTATTCTCTCTCGACAATTCCAGGTCAAGCCTCACTCTTCTCCGTGGTTTTCCTCACATTGTGCTGCTGCAATTGCCAATCGAAACCATTATTTCCATATCTATCAGCAAAACAATTCTCCAGAAAACAGACGTCTGTTTATTACTGCTAGGAACCATTGTAAAAAGGTTTTGTCTAACGCCAAAGCTCGCTATTCTCAGATCATGAAATCTCGTATTTCATCACAAAAATTAGGCTCTCGTGACTTCTGGAGAATCTTTAATAGTATCAATAATAAGGGCAAATCTGTTATTCCACCTCTTTTGTATGGTTCAAACTTTGTCACCTCACCTAAAGACAAAGCTGAATTGTTTGCTAAGAACTTTTCATCAATATCATCTCTTGATGCCACTAGTTGCGTTCTACCTGGTATAGCCGTCAAACAGGTTGCTCAACATTCGTATCACTCCAGCTTCTGTATCTAAAGTGATCTCCCACTTAGACTCTTCTACAGCTTGCGGTCCGGACAATATACCTGTTATAGTCTTGCAGAAGTGTTTTCCGGAGCTGTCGTCTATCCTTTCAAAACTATTTAACAAGTGCTTATCAAAGTCTTGTTTTCCAGCCTGCTGGAAAGCAGCATCTGTTATCTCTATTTTTAAAAATTCTGGAGAGCGATCCGATTCATCTAACTACCGTCCCATTAGTCTTCTTCCTATCATAAGCAAGGTTTTTGAATCTTTAATTAACAAACACTTAATCTCTCATCTTGAATCTCATAACCTACTTACTTTTTAATTTACATTAAAGATCTTTCAGATATTCTCACATCTAAGGTGGCATTGTTCGCTGATGATACTACCATTTATTCTTGTCACGATAAGAAGCCAACTCCCTCTGATTGCTTGCAGGGGGCATCTGAGCTTGAAAAGGATCTCACTTTTGCTACAGTGGCTGGTAAACTTTACTTCAGATAAAACTCAATTTTTTTTTGGCCAATCGTTTTCACAATAATTTAGACCTTCCTATATTTATGAACGGTAATGTACTCGATGAGTCTCCTACCCTTCATCTTCTAGGATTAACTCTTACTTCTGATCTTTCTTGAAAACCTTATATCAAATCCGTTGCAAAATTAGCATCTGCTAAAGTTGCTTCTCTTTATCGAGCTTGTCACTTTCTTACTCTGGATTCTATTCTCTTTCTCTATAAATCTCAAATCCGGCCTTGTATGGAATACTGTTACCATATCTGGGGCGGATCCTCTAATGATGCCCTTTCTCTTTTAGACAAGGTGCAAAAACGCATTGTAAACATAGTTGGACCTGCTCTTGCAGCCAACCTTCAACCTCTGGCTCATCGTGGTAATGTTGCTTCTCTTTCTCTTTTCTACAAATACTATAATGGGCATTGCTCTAAAGAGCTAGCGTCTCTTGTGCCGTCTACGAAAATTCATTCTCGTGTTACTCGTCATTCAATTAAGTCTCATCCTTTTTCTGTTACTGTTCCTAAGTGTTCCAAAAACTCTTATTCGTCTAGTTTTTTTCCTCGAACATCAGTTCTTTGGAATTCACTTCCTTCATCTTGCTTTCCTGATTCATATAATTTGCAATCTTTTAAGTCGTCTGTCAATCGTTATCTTGCTTTACAATCTTCATCTTTTCTCTTCCAGTAACTTCCAACACTAATTAGTGGTTGCTTGCAGCCTTGTTGGAAGCGAAGATAATTAAAATATATATATATATATATATATATATATATATATATATATATATATATATATATTTATATATATAAGCATATACAAAAAAGTATTACATTAATTTCAGTGTAACCTAAAATTTTGAATTAATGAATAAATATATTTCTTTTAAGATTTTGAAAAAAATTGCATAAGCTGTGGTTGTTAATTAAAATATAAGTTATAAATGATTACATTTACAATTATTTTAAGATGTCTAATCACTTGTCTTGTAAAATTATTATGTTTTAATTTAGATTTAAAAATAAATTACGCTATTTTGAGGCTGGAACATCAGAGCAATTAGCTGGTTCATGCAAAGGTCTTCATAATGACGTGGAGTTAATTGTAAAGTTTGTTCAACTTCTTTCTTATTTTATAGAAATTATAAACACCATTTTTTTAAATACTTAAGCTCCTTCAGCAAAATTCAAGATTAAAAATTTTATATTAAAATAATATTCTATGTTATAATAAAAAGTCTAGAATTTTTAGATGGAATTATAAGATACAATTTAGGTGTCGTGGTAATTGAGTTATTCATAATTTTTTAGTTGTGCATTGACATTTTCCAATATGCAATAAATAGATTTGTCAAATTTAATGCAACATTCAAAAACTCATACTTTGAAACATAGTTTTTTCATTTAATTTCTACTGTTAAAATAATCTACTGTTTTTTACATTTAATTTCTACTGTTTTTCACATTTTCAAAGAGTTATAATAATAGTGCAACAATATGGCAGGTATGAAAAAGATGTTTTCAAATGAATATGATTTTTATGATTATGGTGAGCAGAATTAAAGTGAACACAAAGAAACAAGTTGCATTGAGATATCCTAAATAAGAATCAGTTCCATCTTTTGCTTAAGTTTAGGAGGTTTTTTCATTTCAAGAATTTCTTTTGGCATTTTTATTATTACATCACTAAACAACAGCCTTCTCTGTTTAAAATATTCTTTGTTTAGTAATTTCTTAGGTGAATTTTTAAATTGTATTCTTAGACTTTTTCTGATTTTATTACTTGTCTTTTTTTTGGAGTCTTTTTTTCAAAATAAATTTTATACCATTTTCCAAAATAACTGGTAACTTAGCTAAATAAGATAAGGTTAGTAGCAGTAAGATAACTGATATGCGTTTCTCCACACAGCGGTCTTGTTTATAAAGTTTCATATGTCAGAGCTAAAGCATTTTGAGAGGCTTGTAACAAATAAAAAAAACAAACAAGTAGCTTTCTTGGCAGTAAGAGTGGTGACTCCTCAGTTTTGGGGAAATAAACATTACAAAAAAATAGTACAAAACAACTAACAGATAAATAAATATGCAAAAAAAAAAAAAACTTATCAGGATGTAACAAATGTATATGTGAAAAAAAAACTTTTTATTGTAAAAATTACAACTGTTTGTGTAGAAAATGTTTGTTTCTAGACTTTCATATAAATAATTTTCAAAAATATGTTGTATTTTTTATAATAGTAATTTTAGATTTCTAGATTACTGCAGTACATCTTTGACTAAGCATAAAGTTTTTTGTTGCTTGTCTCAAATAAGTTGGTTGGATTTGTTATTACATAGTGTACAGAAATGTATCAAAATGTAAGGCACTTTAGCCTTGGTGAAGGCTAGAAGGAAAAGAAACCTAGAAGGAAAACTCTAATACAAAACCTACAATTTAACTTTTAGTAAGTGTAGGAGGAGTGTTTAACCATTGAATAGGATGTAATCCTCCTAGTGGTAGCCTTGGATGTAATCCTCCTAGTGGTAGCCTTGGATGTAATCCTCCTAGTGGTAGTATGACAATAAAATACTCCTGGTCTGCAAAATAAATGTAAAAGCCGATTCTAAAAAATTATTTGAATGCATCCGTAGTGTCAAAGTTAAATAAGAAACTGAATTATGAAAACTTGTTTGAATCACACAAGTGTGAAACCAAGTCGAGGATTGAAAAAGAATTATTAAGCATTTTATATCCAGGATATCAATTCTATTGTTATATCTTACTGGATACATCATATATGAATTTAATATAATTAAATAATATAATTAAATTACCAAAGGATCATTTTATTTTTTAATTTTAAAAATTAATTTATAAGAAAATATTAAAAAAGAAGTTAATTAGTTTTACTTATTTCTTTAAAAAAAGAACACGTTCATTAATAATTATTATTATTTTTAGTGTGATGGTAAAAAAATTGAGCTCCCGCCTTTAGAAGGAATTGCTATTTTAAACATACCAAGTATATATGGCGGGGCTAATATTTGGGGAGAATCAGAAAAAAGCAATAAAAGGGACTCTGCTGATTTATCCAATGCTGTCCAAAGTAAAATATAAAAATATTTTATGTGAGTTTTTATTTAATTTTATTTGCACATATTGGTATATTATATTTTTTGGTGTAGATATTGGTGACAAAAAAATTGAAGTTGTTGGTTTAGAAAATAGTTTATATGTTGGCCAGATAATAGCAGGAGTTCGTCAGCATGGTTTAAGAATAGCTCAATGTTCCTCCATAGAAATGAAGTAAGAATATTTATATCAAATCTTGTGATCCTTATTAGTAATTAAGATTATAATTTTTTATTTCTTTTAAGCGTGAAGCGTTCTATTCCAATGCAAATTGATGGTGAGCCATGGCTTCAAGCTCCATCAAGAGTATGTTTTTGTTTACAGTTTAAAATAACATTTTTGATGTAAATTATATAATTATCTTAAATACTTTTTATGACCAAAGTTCTGAGCTGAAACAGAAATTTAAGTACTTTTATGTATCAATGTAAATCTAGAAAATGTTTAAATAAAAAAATGTGTTATCAAAAGTGAAAATATAAAAAAAATGAAAATATTTCCCTTTTAATTCTTTTCATATATTCATACTTTTTAAATTAAAACGTGTTTTATTATTTATTTATAGCATATATTTCCAATATAATTTATAATAATAACAATAGAAATATATTTATATATATGTGTGTATATATGTATGTGTGTGTATATATGTGTGTGTGTGTGTATATATATATATATACACATACATACATACATACATACATACATACATACATACATACATACATACATACATACATACATACATACATACATACATACATACATACATACATAGATATGTATATATATATATATATATATATATATATATATATATATATATATATATATATATATATATATATCCGGGTGACCACGCAACTGCATTAAGCTCAAATTTAAGGCTCTAACCATTCTTGTAGATATCCGTGGATCTATTTGTTTACAAATTACGCTATGATATCAACACAAATAAAAAAAACGTAAAAATTATCTGCAAGAATCAAAAAGAAGCATCGGATAAGACTACATCAGATATCAAAGAAAACTTTGGCCGATGCTTTGCATATAGATTTTTTTAATGACTCGGTACTTCCATGGGGAATCTTGCAAGCCTCCTTCTCCACAGCCGTCCACATAAAAAAGTCTATTGGGTTCAGATCTGGGCTATATGGGGGCCGCTTTAATTTGTCCCAGTACTGACTCATGTTTTCACTGAGAAAATTTTGTGTCTTTTTTGAAGTATGAGCTGGTGCCCCATCCTGTTGAAACACATACTGACCATCTGGATAGTTTCTGTTTAACCAGGGAATAACGTTCTCTTGCAAGTGGTGGATATACTCATCACTGTCAAATTTTTGACCTTTTTTCACAAAAACATTTTTTTCCATCACTTGCTATCACGCCAAGTACCATCACAGAAGTTGGTTTTTTTTGATGAAAATGAATACCTGATATTCTCAGGGACTTCCTTTCGGCAGTACTTAGTCTTGTGTTACGACGATTAGCAACTTTATCTACAGTGAAAAGTTTTTCATCAGAGAATATTGTCACACGCCCAGGGTAAGATTTTCGCCAGGTTAACAATTTTTTGCATCGCTCTTTCCTACTTTCTGTTTATTAGTGATAAGATGCTTAGTCACAACAGCTCTGGATTTAAGGTTCAAATCTTTCATAACTTTTTGCATTGTGGAGTTGGCAACAATGGCTTCCCTTGCCAACTGGTGGATGGAGCGCAATGGATTTCGCTTGACTTTTCTTTTGACAGACCTTAAAAGCTGAGGTGATCGTTTCACAGGTTTTGGCTTATTAAAACGTCGTTTGATATCTCCTGTTTCATAAAAAAGTTTTCTTATTCAAAAAATTGCTGTTCTGGAGCAGTTTAAAGCCTTTCTGATATCTGATGTAGTCTTATCTGATTGCAACATTTGCAGAATGCTTCGTCTTTTTGATTCTTGCAGATCCATTTTAATTAAATTTTTTTAATTTTTAGGTTTTTTTCATTTCTGTGTTGATATCATTGCGTAATTTGTAAACAAATAAATCCACGGATATCTATGTATGTATGTATGTATATATAGTATATACGTATATATGTATGTATGTATGTATATATGTATATATACGTATATATGTATGTATATATATGTATAGTATATACGTATATATATATATATGTATATATATATATATATATATATATATATATATATATATATATATATATATATATATTAGGGTGGTGCTTAAAACAACTTTTTTGAGAAAAACCTGCTGGTACCCCCTAAATGTGTTTTATCTAATACAAAAACACTAGGTTTAAAATTTTTTTGAACAAAAATTATTTTTAGGGGTAGCTCAAGGCCCTCAAAAATTTGACGGGTCCCTAATATTTTGAAAAAAAAACTTTTTCTAAAGTATGTCAACCTGGTACTCAAAAGAAGCGATATTATATAAAAACTTCAAAAATAATAATCATTTTACATAAAAAACATGCCTAAAAAAAATTATTCTCAAAAAACCTGAAAATATTGACTTTTTTTATTTTCAGCTTAAAAACAATAGTTTTTATGCATTTATACCTGAAAAAATTATTTTTATAAAAAATTATTTTCATTTTTAAATTTTTTATATAATTTTGCTTATTTTGAGTACCAGGTTGACATACTTTAGAAAAAGTTTTTTTTTCAAAATATTAGGGACCCGTCAAATTTTTGAGGGCCTTGAGCTACCCCTAAAAATATTTTTTGTTCAAAAAAATTTTAAACCTAGTGTTTTTGTATTAGATAAAACACATTTAGGGGGGTACCAGCAGGTTTTTCTCAAAAAAGTTGTTTTAAGCACCACCCTAATATATATATATATATAATATAGAGTTGCAAGCAAAAGGGTTTCTATTACAAAATGATTATCGCATATATTTTTAGGATTAGTGGTCTTTTAAATAAAAACCTATTAGCATTTTTTTAAATTTGAAATATCGCTTTTTTTATATAGATTTTTTTTTATTCTTAAATGATTATTTATTTAAAAAAATTAAGTAATTATGTAGCTCTGTTTAACCATATAAGAATAAAAGTAGATGGAAGTTCAACCGCATTCTTTGTGACTGCTTGTAACGATTTGTTTCGTAAAAAAAAAAAAAAAAACACTTTAAGATTTAAATGCCTAATCTTTATACGTTGACGCAAATAGGTACGTTTATAATAATTTAAAATAATCAAATTTCTTTTTGTGATTCGAAGTAAGAAAGGAAGCTTAAATCGTCATGTGTTTTAAAAATAAAGTAATTCTATTTAATTACCGAGTTTTAGTAAACATTTTGTTAAATAATTACAATAACTATTGGTTAAAACTATGCAGCGTATCTTTTGAAATAATTATTTTTTTAATGTTTTTATAAGAATCATTTTAATGAATTTTTGTTGTTTTTTGTGGTTTGATGAACTTCCATCTGTTTTTATACTTCCATCGTCTATGATATTGTGTGAAATATTCAATGTTATTTTTTTGCAAAATATATTCTACATAAATAAAATATAAGTATTCATTGTTTAATTGCGCTGGTTTTTATTTTTAGAGTTTATTTTTAATTTCAGATAACTATAAAACATCGAAATCAAACGCCTATGTGTGTCGCCTCTTCTCAAAAGAGTAAAAATATTTTACATTTTTTGAAACGTGGGGGAACGGAAGTGTAAGGTTCTTTTGCTCTCGAAAAGAATTCGCTCATTTTTAGCATTTTTTATAGCCATTGTTTTTAGCATCTTTTTTTATCTTTAGATTTTAAAAACAACTAATTAAACATTTTTTTTTTATTTTTTTTTTTTTTTATGTATTATTGCTTTAAGTACTTTAACCTATAACGTGTTTTATCGTCTTATAATGTTTGTGTATACCGGGTAAAATGCAACGTGGCAATTCATTTGTAACATATTTCCATGATATTTTAAAAACCGTTATTTATTTATTTATCTATTTATTTACACAAGGTGATATAATAGAGATAAGGTTTTTATTTTATATGATTTCCATTTATTTGTAAATACGAAGTTATATCAAATATATTTGTGCTAATGCACACACGCACACACACACACACACGCATAGATATATTGTATAGAATAATATATACATAACGAACGCGCTGGCGTGTTGAGCCAGATCTTGTAGCTTGTTAGGTATTATTAAATTTGTTACGAAACCTTTGTTCAAGTTTGTTTTTTTCTTAAAAAAAATGTGCAAGATTTTTTTATATTAAATTTTTGCCGACTTTTCTTTAATCGCTCGTTAATTAAAAAACAGTTGACTAAATTATTCTAAATTCACTAATAATGGTGAAGTTAACAACTACACGAACTTAACAAGTCTTTATATTTAAAAAGTTTCTGCTTTTGTCTAATAAACATACAAAGAAAAAATTTATTTGAACTTTTTTTTGTTTTATAGATTTTTAATAGTCTTTTTTTTTAGTGCTGTATCAGCTTTTAGAAATATTTTTTTTTAATTAAAGATTATAAAGTTATAATTTATATATATATATATTTAAAGGATATAGTTATAATGTATGATTATAATATAAAGATTATTTAAATCAAGTTGTGAATATTACAAATTTCAGTTAGGATCTGTGTGAAAATAAGTTTTATTAACGTAAATATTTCTGTAAAAGCATTTTACATGAAGAAAAAAGCTTATAATTTATATTATCTAAGTCTTCTTTATTTCAATATTTTTTATTGGGTTCGGGAATGGTATCTAGATTTTTTTCTTTTCTGGATTTCCTTTTTTTTTTTTTAAATTCTATTTGTTAATAATTTAGTATATTTATTACAAACATTATACTATATATATTCATAATATATAATTAGTGAAAATGTCTACTTTTTGCAACACATAAACAGTTTTAGCTAAAACTTTAAAAAAGTTTTTTGGGGTGTAAGTTCAAAAAACAAGGGTTTTATAATTTCTTCTAGTAATAACAATTCGAATATTATCGAAGTAGTTGACGAATATTTTTTCTCACACAAACTTATAAAAATATCAATTTTTCGTTAATCATGAAAAGTATAAAATAAAGTTAAAAAAAAGTTATAAATTTAGCCAGTGCAATTTAAATTTTGATTAGGGACACAATTTTTAACCCCCTCCTCGCGCGCCTCTATCCCCGCCCCTTTTGTTACCGGCTATCCTTTTTTCTTAAACCCCCTTGAAAAGGATATCATAAAATTGGGACCCCCTCTCTCTATTTTCTCACGGTTAGCACGGATCTTTATGATGCCCACCTAGCTGTCCCAAGAACGCCACTTATACGAAAAGGTAGCGTACACATCAAGGTATCCTGTGATGCAAATTTTGAAATCATTTAATTTTGTCCGCGGAAAATAATTTAATTTGAATGTTCAAATTAAGTCAAATTTTGACTTCATAGTGCGCCAATAAAAACACTAGTAGAATTTGAACCACTCAATATAACTTGATAAAAATTGGTGCAAATGTAGCCAATAGTCACACCATACTCTGGACAAAATATTAACCTGATTGAATGACTGGTCTTAGATTTATTGCAGTTTTAATTAAAGTTTTGTCAGTTTTTTGCTACTTATGCCTCAATGCATTACCGATTACTTTAAAATTCGGTTACTATTTTTTAAAAAACAACAGTTACATGAGTGTTCTACTATAATACCAACAATTTTTGTTATAATTATTTTATCGGTACATGTTCAATTTTCATTTTATAGACCAAAATAGTGATTTGCTACTTAAAGCGTGATTTGAATTGGCTTATGCCAATGGCGTTGACACGGCCTTCAATGTGGAGGGGGTCAACCCCTCAATTTCTAAAACAAAATCCATAATTTCTAAAATAATTGCCTATATTTCTAAAACAAAAAGTCCTTGCAAAAAAAAATTTAGATAAGTTAACTAAGATAGTTAGAGTTGGCGCACATATCGTAATACAAAAATTCGTTGATTTTTGAATCTTAAAGTTAAGCAGTTTTTATTACCGGGTTTGGCAGATATAAGAAGATGACATAATTTTAACAAATCTAAAATAGGAGTTTCAAATTTTTCACATTGATGTCAATATGTTTTGTGTTTTTTCAATTTTGTCAATTTTTAAATATAATATATTTTAAATATAATATATTTTAGATATAGTATATTTTAAATATAACATACCTACTAATCACTTAACCTACTTAAACATCAAAACTAAACTGCTTAAGCAAAAAAGACTTGTAATTATTAGAAAAGTTTACTTATAATCCATTCGATCCTGAATAAAACGTTTTATAGGTAGATTTTTTACATTTTATAAACAATATATATAAACAAATAAAATATTTTTTTATATAAATTGTTTATATAGGGATGGTTAAGCGCGAAATCTGTCTATTCAACAAAGTTTAAAAATATGTTAGTTTTATTAAAAAATAATTTATATAATGTTTCTTCGTTTATATAATGTTTCTTTGCAAACACAAAAAACTTAAATTTTTTAGGCACTGAACTGCAATTACTTTTAATTCTTTTGGTTTAGTGGCTTTTGTTAATACAATTTGATAACTCTGGACAAAATTTCAGCCTGATTGGATGACTGGTGTAGGATTTATTGCAGTTTTAGTTGAAGTTTTGTCAGTTTTTTGCTACTTATACCTCAAAGGGTTACCGATTACTTTGAAATTCGGTCACTATTTTTAAAATAACGGTTACATGAGTGTTCTACTATGTAATACTAACAATTTTTGTTATAATTATTTTATCGGTACATGTACAGTTTTCATTTTATAGACCAAAATAGTGATTTTCTACTTAAAGCGTGATTTAAATAGTCTTTTGCAAATAGTGTCGACACGGCCTTTAAAGTGGAGGGGATCAACCCTTCAATTTCTAAAATAAAATCTATAATTTCTAAAATAATTGCCTATATTTCTATAAAACAAAAGTAGAGAAGGACATGACCCCTAGCCTCCCCGGCGTTGACGGGGAGGCTAGGGGTCATGTATGCTTGTATGCTTCGCTTGAATATACCAACATTTCCTAAGGTATAAACTGCTGCCAAAAAAAAAGCTAAAATAAAGTGTAAAACCTGGTCAAAGGACTACCAGTTAGTAAAACAAACAAAAAAAGTAGATTTCCTAAAATATTTTGTATTGACCTTCTTAAATACATTTACTTTTAAAAGTGAAGTGAAAGCTATTTAAATCCTATTTTTTACATTGTATTACCATCAAATATTTAATTACATTTTAAGAAATGTTGTTTTGATTTTCTCCACCAAAAGATTATTAATAAACAGCTCAATGTACTCTCTTAATACAAATACTCTATAATACTACTTTTAAAGACGGTGAAAATACTCATTATACGCCGTAAAATATGAATTTCAGCAGCCTAATTTCTAATAACTCAAATAATGTTCTTTAAAGATGCTTACTGTTTAGATCAATTATGCAGCGCAACAATCTTTCTTTGTACTCTGGATAATTATTATTTCGCTTATACCTCGACCAATGTTGATAAAAATCTTGATAAGAAGTTTCGACAGCAAGTTTACTATAGTTTGCCAAGGGGGATCCTTTGTGACTGATGAAATCCTTGATGTGGTAGAAGAAGGAGTGAGTTTTGGGTGTTACGCTTGCACCAGTTATCATTAGGTAACACTTTTTGAAATTTTCAATTTTTTCAGCAAAACCCGGCTTAAGGATGTATTCAAAGCAAGCCTTGACAACTAAATTGAAGCTTTTGAATGCTTCAATTATGCACACAATATTTGTCTCAGCAAGTTGCTGCAGCATATCCACATTTTTAAGACGCCTCCTGCATTCATTTTCCTCAAACTGGCCCCCGTGATACGGGCTCAGTTAAATGTGGAGGGCGGCTGGCCACTTAACAGCTTCTATCCAAGCAGTTTTAAGGATCTTGAAAAGATGGTTGACAACTCCTAAGAGGAGATGCAATTCTATCGATGGAATGATTTCCAAAATCAGAACATTGACAGGCCCGCAGATGATTGGCTTTCGAATGACATTGTCAAACAGCTTTGCATTATCAACAACCCCGCCAGATTGCTGAAAAGACTCAAGGCTTGAATTAATTGAGCCCAGTGTTCGCAAGTTTCCAGATTTGTTCAATATTGGAGCGTGTTTCTGGCAAATCTTCTGAAACCCCAACAATAATTTGTCTCTTGACTCCAGTGTCTTTACCAGTCCTTTGAGTGAGAGGTTGTTGTTGGTGCAGTTAGCTGGTTTCATCCCTTAACGCAGTATAAACAATGCTTAGGTAAAACCTGAGAAAACCTTTGCCACCATCAATTCCGAGCTTAACAAAATAGCCACCAGAAATTTTGCGGGACTGAATAACATGATTCACAAGACTTGATAAATCATTGCAGTGAGCAACAACATGAACTGTACAAGAATCTCTTTTTTCTTCTGTGATTTTTAACTTGCTGCAGGTGAAGAAATCGCTTAATTGTCGACCTAGTCTTAGAAAATTCATGTAGAAATTTCGCTCTACCATCTTGCTGCTTGATGTTTTGTTTACAGTTCTAACAAGTTTTTTAATCCGTTGTTTGACAGGCCCGTATTTAATTGCATATTTACAAGGGCTACAGTTGTCAATTTGTACATGATCAATTTTTACAAGGGCTACAGTGGTCAAGTGGAGCACTTGATGGTGTCTGCGCACTACTTTGAATTAAAACCAAAACATTTATAGTTTATAGTTACAGTAAACTTTGTTTAGTAAATTTGTGTAAAACTTTCAAATTATTCGTTTTTAAAGAAATTAGAAACTTGTCAAAAATATACTTCTTAAAATCTATCTAGTGTTATTTCTTAATAGTCAAGACTTTATTTCAACATACATGTTAAAATTATTTAAGTATAAATATTTACCAGGGGTAACTGTAAGTGGAGGCCCGCCGGATGCTTTATCCAGTAGAATAGTTTCTTCAGGAGATAATTTTTTATTGGAAATAACTCGAGATGCGATTTGTTCGGATGATTTGGCATTTTTTGCTGCTAAAGATTGAATGTTTTCCCTTAACATTATTTTAGAGCATTGGTGGGGCAAATCTTTTCCTAAAGGGCTGAGGCATTTGCTGCAATGCACCTTTGGTTTTTTCTCAATAGTGGTTTGCTCAATAAGAGGATGTTTTTCTTGCAGCTTTGAACGACCAATTCGGCATATTAGGCAACAACACATCGCG